GAAAAATGTAGTCCTAACGGTTTTCGTTGGCACCATGCAAATCAGCAAATGCCTATCTTTGAATGTTTGCGGGCCCTCTTGTCACGATTTTTTTTTGTCCTTGTCACGAGTGGCTGACCTTTGTTTCCGATCAAGCACATCAATCATTTTCCCTTTTCCCCTTTTTTTTTAATATTTTTCTTCAAAAAAGATTTTCAATTTTTTTTTGCAATCTTTGCTATGTTTTTTCTTTTTTAATTTACAAGCATAACATGTTTAATAATACTATGATCTCTACCGTCTAAACCCTAGCATTTTCGTGGCGTGTCTTGAAAAAATAAAATAATAAAATATATAATTAGAGGAATTGATTAACCTAATTTTTTATATAAAAAATTATAATTTACGAATAAAAAATTTATAAGTAATAAAATTTAAATTTAGAGCTGCTTAACACTTGAATTTTAGTAGAATGGAAATACGAAGAATAACGATTTTGTAATCTAATTAAGTCTATCTTTAAGCCTAATGGGTCCAAAACTATATTAATAATAATAATAAGCAATCCATGCAATACACATTAATACAATATCAAACCATTTTTTAATCAAGAAAAGCATTTATTCCTTTAATGCAGATTTTGAGCAATTTAAAAACCTATTACAGGTAAGCTAACCAGATTTTTTTCATTTTTTTGGCCAGCAGCTAGTTAACCAGATCTGGTAAGGTCCTTTTGTGACAGCCATGACCACCACAGCTACAGTTAATCAGTCTCATCTAAGAAAACCAGCTAAGAGTAAACTAATATTTTGGCCACCATTTCCAGATAACAGCTCCAACAGCCCTTTATCATATGCTATATTTTATTTAAACAAGAAAACATTAACATTGCTGGAGCGACACTTTGCGCAATCGAATCTCGTTTGGAAATTATTTATAAGCAAAAAATTTGTCTCATTAATTTATAATTTAAAAAAAAAACACTAAAAAATGAAATGAAAATGAAGAATTAAGAGAGAATTTATCGTTTCATAAGTTTCATTCAATCTAAAATCAAATTTAAGAATTTATTAATCTAACAGTAAATGAAAACAAAAAAAAAAAAAGTGACTTTTCATCTCATGTGTAGCTTCTAAGGCGTCATTTTCCTTTCTCCCATGGCTAGTCGCATCCGGAGTACCAAAGCTTAATAAGATTTTTAAAAAAAAAGGAAAAAATTATGAGAGCAAATGAAACTTATGGAAAACCAAAATCCAAAATTACTCTTAAAAAAGGTTTTTTCTTTTTTTTTTTTACATTATTAAGCTGCCCCTTAATACAAAACGTGAATAAATTTTATATTAAGTTAATAGATTTGTGTATCTGACAGACTAGCCAGAAAGTATTTCTTAGGTGAAATTGATTAGTTAGCATTAAAGGAAATCCACGTAAGTCACAGGACAAAAGGCCTCGGTTAACAGATATCTTGATTGGACATGGAACTGTCAGCCAAAAGCATCATTGACAACTAAATCAGCCTCTTGAATCAGCAAATGAATCCATGTATTGTAATATATGCAAACTTTTCTTTCCAAATTAATCCCAATATTAACAAGGGCGTTTATAATATTTCATGCTACTAAGTTGTCTATTCTAAGATATCAAATCTTGAGGATAATGAAATTTAATGTTCGAATCTTGATTAATTATTCATATATAAGCAAATGTTCTGAGCATGGACATAAATAAAGCACATGCTTTACCATGCAGCCTGATTGGAACCTTCCAAAATCAACCAACTCTACCAAATTAGCTAATTCAAAATTCCAAATATATGCCACAAATCAATAAAAGAAAGGCCAACAACCGAAATAAAAATGAATGATAGACCATAGGGCACTTTTGATGCCGAGCTAAATCTGGAGTAAAGACTTGAAATTAGAAGAGATCCAAAATAGATTAAGGATAAAGGTTAGAGTTACTTTCGATGTTTATATTTCAATATTAAAATTTAATATTCAAGAAAAAAATTAAAAAAATTTGATTATTCATACAAACAAAATATTTATATATAAAAAAAGGTGTATGAATCTTGATAATTCAAGTTTATTGATTCAATTTAATATGAACGAGACTAACTCAATTTAATATGACAAAAAACCTCTAATAAAAAAAATGATAAATCAATATATTTATATTTGATCCGATAAGATGTAATTTTAAACGAATTAAAATGAATTCCTAAAAATAAGGTCAATCTAATAAATTGGGACAAACTAAACAATCGGTATAACCCTAAACTAGAGGTGAGTAATTCTATTGTAGCAAAAGACAATTATAACTAGATCATTAAATTTCCCAAACAGTCACCGTAAGATGGGCTTGTGGAGAACACCATCTCTTGATATCGATCAACTATTATTTCCTTGCGAATGGGATTGGGAAGGGGGGGGGGGGTGGGATCTGTCCTGGCCTGGCAGCTGGCTGAGCAATGTATCACCTCAGCTCTAGCCTCTAGACCTTATCCCCTGGTTAGGTTTCCTGTCACTTTCCAATTCGTTATGTGTTTTATGTTATTAGTACTCTTTGTCAACCACCCCTCAATGATTTTAATTTCATGCGTCCGTTTATGTCGTGTGTCAAACTCAAACATTGGATTTGGCTGTCATAAGCGTTGGAAGGTGCACGTTAGACGATGGACGTAACAATGGGACTATAGGGTGGGAGGATCTTGCCAAATTTTTCATTGTTGAGAAACGAGAGCCACTGAATTGCCGACACGGAGACAATATGGCAATTCCCAGGGTTTTCTATACAGCAATGTACAATACCTCAAAATATATACATATATATATATTAATGATAACAGAATTTGATTTGATTTGATTTTTTTAAATATTATATAATATTATAAAATTTTAAAATTTGATTTGAAAATAAAATTTTATTTGATCTGAATCAATTAAATTTTACAATTAAGTTAAAATTCAATTTGGTTCGATTTATTAATTTTTAATTTTTATATATTATTTTAATATAAAATTTTAATATATTTAAGTAGATTTTCATATAAAATTATTATTTTTATTTTACAAAAATTTAAAATATATATAATTTGATTTAATTTGATTTTTTTTTTGTTTTTCACCTTTTGATCCAAAATTTGATATGTACTTAATATATACATTTATTATCCGAACTTGATCCGAACTGAATCAAACACTATGATTTAAAATCAGTTTTTGGATTTTTTCAATTTTTTTTCACTCCTACCTGTCAACAACAGTAGGCCCATTTATATTAGGCCGTAACAAGGCTTTTTTATTTATTACTGATGGACCAGCCCAAACCCACCAATGAGAAAGTAACAAGGGATTTGCTGCTTCATCTTTTGGGAAAATTTTGCAATTACTGCTAGTTTTGCTTTTACACAAAATTTGAGTTTTCAAATTTGTAAAGCATTTTGGAATTGATTGATTGACTGGCTTTTAAAGTTATTTCGGTTGCAAAAGAACACCGACACTAAACATGAAACATTTTTTGGCCAAAACAACATGAACAATTTTTTTTTTTTTTTTGGAGTTTTGCAAATGAGTATGGGCCGTGACCTTTGCTATGCCCTGTGATTGCAATCTCTTGATTAGTTTAGTCCATTTGCCTGCTTTAGTTAAGTAAACAGTAGATTTGTTGTGGTCTACTCGGTTCTCTTCCGTATAGTTTTTTACTTATAGGCTTTTAGGGCTTTAAAGGAATTGATGAGGAACGTTGGATCATGAAAAAGATAAGCGAAGCCCAACAATAAGCTGCTGCTTTTTAAAACATTTAATTTTCTCTAATTTTATTATTAAAAAATCGTAATCTAAAAATAAAAAAATATATTGTAAGGAGCAATGTAGACATGCGAGTCACCTTGAAATTTCTAATTTGATTTTCCTCTCGGTTACTTGTTCTGTTATAATTTTCTTTGACATTTTCTATTCAATTGCATAAGAATAAGAATTTTATGTGTACGTGCTTATTGAAAATAAGGAATTGTTCATGCTTTTAATATTATGGCATTTTTTTTTTCACATAACATGAAGTAATGAAGGATAAAATGCATGCAAAGCATTTTAAATTTTGTTAAAGTTTATTTTTTTTAATGATTTTAAAGTTACATTGTTTGCTACATTTCCAAATATTTTAAGTACTCGTTCATTATATGAAGTTGACGATAGGGGAAAAAAAAAGGTGAAATTTTTTTTTTTTCAACTAGAATTTAATGAAAAATATTTTAAGAATAAAATATTCAATTTATTAAGTTCATATGTGAGAATACACCTTTAAGATGGTTTTAGGCAGAAACTGGAGATATCTGATATTTTACTGAAAAATATATATGAGTATTTTTCAATTATTTTTTTAAATTATCCAAAAATATTATTATTCAATTTGTCTTCAACAGTCTTATGAAGTTTTAATCATAAAAATACTTAGCATAAAACTCTTGTTCCATTTTGTAACTTAAAAGTTGTTATCTTACTTATATTTATTGCAAGTAGGAGTGTGAAAAAAAAAAATTGAAGTATTTGGTTTGGTTTGGATTATTTTTTATTTAATTTGAAATAAATTTAAATATTAAATATATATTATATTTATATTGCATTTCGAATTAAAAAATAAAAAATTTAATTTAATTATATATTTTATTAATTTTTATAACATAAAAATAATTATTTTATATATAAATCTATTTAAATATATTAAAATAATATATAAAAATAAAATTTTAATTAATTGAATCTAATCCAAAAATTCAATTAGGATGAAATTGTATAAGGACTGATATGACCCCTAATCGTAATAATCCTTAATTAAATAAATAATTATTGACAAAATCCAACGAGTAATTCCCTAATTCTCTTTTTTTTATTCGGTTCCCCGAAAAAATGCAAAAAATTGCAACGAGAGTGGCATTTCGGTAGTTATCTTGAACAATCAAGGGTAAGCTTAACAGCATAGTGAGTCAACTCACCTACTCACTTGCATCAGCATTCGAAGATTAGTTGGCTCCTGCTATTTTGCTCTCCCTTCCAAAAACAATTCCCAGCAAATTTAAACAAATTAACCAAACGCCTTCCATACTCCCATAACACTCAATAGTAAAGAAAAGAAAAAGCGTAAAGAATAGAAATTTGAATAAGCGGGCGGAGATGTGGCGCTGCGTTTCTCGTAGCCTTCGAGTTCCATATTCGAAGAGATCGGTCTCAAATGACTCTCTTAGATCTCACATTTCCGGATTCTTCTCCACCGATTCTGTACGGTTCCTTTCTTTTTCGGATTTTTATTACCTTGTTTTTTCTGCTTTGAAAAGTCAGAGCTGTTTTGCTTTTATCTTTTCATTTTCTTTCTGTTGGCGGTTACTGGATTTTCTTTGCAGATTCTGATTGATTTTACCTAATTTGTTTTTTATATTTATTTATTTTTTGTTGCTTGAACTGTTTGGCTGCTGAGAAAATGCTGCCAAGGAAAAGAATCGACAGAATCTGCACCTTTTTTTTTCGTAAATCATCTACTAACCTAGCTCCCTTTAGTTGACTTTGCTAATTTACCGTGGAAACAAATACCATATTGAACTTAGTCGTAATTAATATCCTTTTTTTTTTATTTTTTAACGTTTTATATAATTTATAATAGTTATTAAACAAAAAGCATCTTGTGTTGAACATTTACGATTATTGCAGGGTGAAGCCCCTTATACGATAGTGGATCATACATATGATGCAGTCGTGGTCGGTGCTGGTGGTGCGGGGCTGAGAGCAGCAATCGGCCTTTCAGAGCATGGATTCAATACTGCTTGCATTACTAAGCTTTTCCCAACTCGTTCGCATACCGTTGCAGCTCAGGTATAAAACTATTTGGATTTTTATGATTATCAGTGATGCCTTTGCTATAAGGGCATCTATATGTACAGTGACTATAGTCTATAGTTGGGCGGACTTCGTGATTCCAGTTTTTTATGGGCTCGGCTCTAAGATTTTGATGGCTCTATGCACATCCTACTTGTCTCTTTGCTGTTGTTTCCTTTGTAAGCACAGATAGTTGAGTTGCCTAGTAACTGATGTTCTCTTGTCCAACCAAGACTGAACATGAAACTTACGAAAATCATTCTTGTTACCATAACAATGTTTTTTTTTTTTTTTTAAATTCTTCAAATTATATCAATCGGCACTTTTACACTTGTCATATTGTGATCTGTTTAATATTTTTTGCATTTTAAAGAGTAATACATGGTTATTTGAATCTTTCATGCTGATATGTTTTATAAGGCATAATGCACTTCTCCAAATTGTTGTCAAATAAGTTATTTGTTTTCATCTAACAGTGGATCATTCTGGTAAAGCAGAGCCATTGTTTAGTTCCATGTTTAAAACACAGTCTGTAAAAAGGTTATTGGTTTTGTCAGTGGTGCCGTTTGTTTGTCAATTCCATTAAAAGAAATAATTTGTCTTATCTATCTGTATTAACATTTATGTTCAGGGTGGTATAAATGCTGCTTTGGGAAATATGACTGAAGATGACTGGCGATGGCACATGTATGATACAGTTAAAGGAAGTGATTGGTTAGGTACATGACTTGTTTGAACTTGTATCTTTTGTGATTTTGTGGGATACTTAAATAAACGGGTGTATTTAAGCTTGTGCCTCTACTTAATTTTTGGCTGTGTAAGAATGGTCAATTTTTTAATCAGCTTTCTCTTCTTAAGTACAATTATATGTTTACCTTAAGTGTGCTATCGTCTAGCCTGAAGTAGTTTATTATATCTCCCTGCATTCATTGAAGTGGCTATCACATGTTTGATCTTTTTTTCCCCTTCAACATCTGCTCAAACTATTGATATCAAACATTACCTGTGTAACAAAGCGGTATGACTCATGCTAGAGCGAAGGGCCATGCTGTGCACATACATTTCTATATTGCATTAAACGACCTTTTTCACTTGTACCTGTGTAGTGCTGTATTTAACTACGTTTCTAACAATCCTTTTCCCTTTTGCTTTTGGTTTTAACAAAAGAGAGGGTGGATTGTTGTAGGTGATCAGGATGCAATTCAATATATGTGCAGGGAGGCACCTGAAGCAGTGATTGAACTTGAGAATTATGGGTTGCCTTTTTCTCGAACAGAAGATGGGAAAATATATCAGCGTGCATTTGGTGGTCAAAGCCTTGACTTTGGAAAAGGTTTGAGTGGACAAATTTGAGCGGGTAGAATTCTGATCTTAGCTCCCTAATGTTTTTCTATCTTGACCAGGTGGACAGGCCTATCGTTGTGCATGTGCTGCTGACCGAACTGGACATGCTCTATTGCACACACTCTATGGCCAAGCTATGAAACATAATACCCAATTCTTTGTGGAATATTTTGCTTTGGATCTGTTGATGAATGGTGATGGTAGGTTATTGCAGGGAATTTAGATTTTCATCTTTAATTGTATTTCAGATCCCTTTTGTTTGTGTTGGTTACCTTAGGTCTGGCATATATATCATTCCTTGTTATATTTGGCTGTCCATAGTTTTGAGATTTATTTGTTTTCTTCATTTTGGTGAAAGATGTGACCTACTTTTATAGTTATTCTCTTTGGACCTTTGACAAAAAAAATTGTTTTACATTTATGTTTGCAGTGTAATATGGATAACTTTGGTTTATTATTGATGCCTTATGTGCAGGGAGCTGCCAGGGTGTGATAGCTTTGAACATGGAGGATGGAACGTTACATCGATTCCGTGCTGCGTCAACAATTCTGGCCACTGGGGTACCATATTTATTCTTGATTTATTTTTCATTCAAAATGTGTTAAAGGACCATTACCTTTGTTTTCTTTTTTTTCTTTTTATTTATTTTTTGTTGTCTGTTTCTTTCAGGGATATGGTAGAGCCTACTTTTCTGCAACCTCAGCTCACACATGCACTGGTGATGGCAATGCTATGGTTGCACGTGCTGGGCTTCCCCTCCAGGTTTCTTGTGTTCTTTCTAACCTTGAAATTGGTTTTCTGGAGCTGCTTTCTGAATCCTTTCTCTTCTTCTATCTCTTTCTATATTCTTTCCCCTCTCGGTGTATCCTTCCTACAGGATTTGGAGTTCGTGCAGTTTCACCCAACTGGAATATATGGGGCTGGGTGCCTCATCACTGAAGGTTTGTGCTTATTCAACTTATGAGGAGAAGTGTCTTGGGTTGATTTTTGGTTGCATTATAGAGGGAAGTTATTATACCTCTTTGTTTTTCTATTTTTGAATTTAATTGTTTGCACCTTCTTCTTTAGTTCAAGTTGATAATGTTCATTTCTAATTTTCAATTGCAATTTGTAGGGTCTCGTGGTGAAGGTGGTATTCTTAGAAATAGTGAAGGTGAACGCTTTATGGAACGGTATGCCCCTACAGCCAAGGATCTTGCTTCAAGGGATGTTGTTTCAAGATCTATGACCATGGAAATCAGGGAAGGTCGTGGTGTAGGTATGATTATCTCCTTATTGCTGTCATTTCCATTGCCAGCATTCAGTATCATCTGTGGTTTTCTTGCTTAGGAGTGTATGTTAGGTTGCCAGATGTGCAGTGAGGTATTGCAATATGGTGCTTTTGGTTTAAACTAGATATTGGGTTTCTTTTTTCTGACATTTTATGTGATTGTTAGTCTTAGTTCCATCAAGTTTTAGATATCTGGTTTTTCATACTCATATTTGTAGGTGGCCATGCCCAAAAACAAGATAAGTTTATTTCTAGCGTTGCATGATGCAGACAGTTACCAGTTACATGCAAAATAATATGAATCTTCTCACAACTTGGGAGTTATTAACTATGATATTTATATCCAATAGGACCTCTAAAGGATCATATCTATCTTCACTTGAATCATTTACCCCCAGAGGTGCTCAAGGAGAGGCTTCCAGGTATCTCTGAGACTGCTGCCATTTTTGCTGGTGTGGATGTTACAAAGGAGCCCATTCCAGTATTGCCCACTGTACATTATAATATGGGTGGAATTCCCACAAATTACCATGGAGAGGTGTGCAGATGCATAGATGCATTTACATGTGGATGTTCAGAACAAATATTTCTGATATATGAGGATGTATAATTGTGGAGGTTTACTCAAATTTAATTGTGTTATTCATTTCAGAGATACACTGAAGAAATACTTGTTAATATGTGTCTGTATGATTGAATAACTGATAAATATTTAAAAAATTAAAGACCTGCGATATTATTTGAGAATGAAGACCTTAAACAATAAGTTTCTTCAAATAATCATGTCTATATTCCACTCTTTGTGGTTTTAACTTCACCATCCATTTCTTTTTGTTGATTTTCAGGCTCACACTACTTAATCAGTGTGCTTTTTGTTTCTCAGGTAGTTACTGTCAGAGGCAGTGATCCAGATTCTGTGGTTCCTGGACTAATGGCTGCTGGGGAGGCAGCTTGTGCATCAGTTCATGGTGCCAATCGGTTGGGAGCAAACTCCCTTCTTGATATTGTTGTCTTTGGTCGGGCTTGTGCAAACAGAGTTGCAGAGATCCATAGACCAGGCAAGTTGTATTTATATCTTTTGCAGATAAGTAGCTATGCCATTATGTCTCAATTTTGATTCACATACACTGTTTTTTTCAGGGGAGAAGCAGAAACCTTTGGATAAGGATGCTGGGGAGAAAACAGTTGCTTGGCTGGACAAAATAAGAAATTCAAATGGTTCTCTTCCAACTTCAAAAATTCGATTGAATATGCAAAGAATAATGCAAAACAATGCTGCTGTTTTCCGCACACAGGAAACGCTAGAAGAAGGTGTGTGATGTTTCTTCATCATTAATGTTCTAGTTTTTCCGTCATGTGTCTTTTTCGCCCCATTTAGCCCTCCTTTTGTTCCTCTTTTTCTGGCAAATAGAGTAATTAGTTTGGCTTATGTTGCTTGTGAGATTCTACTTGCTCAAACTAACGTCTTTTAACATTTAGTTGTCACTTGGGAGAAACCTATTTACTTCTATGTATATTTTGGTAGGTTGTCAGTTAATTGATAAGGCATGGGAAAGTTTCCATGATGTTAAGTTGAAGGATCGAACTTTAATATGGTAAGATTGCAGGCACTAGGATGTTGATGATGAAACCATTCTTGTAGTTTGTTGTTTTTTGAGCTTCACTTTTAAAATGTTTCAACAGGAACTCTGATTTGATAGAGACTATTGAGTTGGAAAATCTTTTGATTAATGCCTGTATCACCATGCATTCTGCTGAAGCCAGGAAAGAGAGCAGGGGAGCTCATGCCCGTGAAGATTTTACAGTTAGTTTATTTTTTATTCAGTTCGGTTATTTCCTTTTTGCCAAGCTTCTGTATAATAAAGTGAATTTGCTGTTCTTTTGCAGAAAAGAGATGATGAGAACTGGATGAAACACACATTGGGGTAAGATCTCTTTCCCATGGAAGAACACAATGAATATATATGGGTTTATCTTGTGGTGAGGAAGTTTAAAATTAATAGGGACAGGTGCATTTGTATCAAGAACAGGTTTCTGGGAACCAAGCTTAATCCAAATGTATAGTTGTATAATATTTGGGCTTTTGGCTGTTCCACTTTATGTAGAATATAAACCATGGAATCACGTGTAAGGGGAAAGATAGCACAGGTGGGGTATTTAAGTACACTATTGCTTGCAATTCTCCATGGTGTTTCTGTTCACTGTCTGATTGGTAACCTGAGTTAGTGCCCCAAATCCGATCAAACCTAGGCTTTAATTATTGGTATTGGCAGAGTGAATCCAAGAATGGTTAGTATTGCTAGGAATAATCATCTATCGTGTATTATCAGTGATTTACTAGATAATGGAAAGAATGCAAATCACTAAATTGCATCATTATTTTGGTTTAATCTAGTTGGGAATGTCAAGTTGTTGGATATTTACAAATTCTACTTTGATTTGTAGGTATTGGGAGAATGAGAAGGTGCGACTTGATTACCGGCCAGTTCACATGAACACATTAGATGATGAGGTTGAATCATTCCCACCTAAAGCCCGTGTGTATTAATCCATGTGCCTTTAGTAGGCAGATATTGGTTTTATGCAAATGATTATGAGAATCCAACAAGTCAGCCCGGAATAAGTTATGGAGAACAAAGATGCAATAATCTATTTGTACATGCAGCATTTTGGCAATATTTGTGCCATTTATCAATATTGGGAACTTTTTGTTTGAAAGCATCAACAAGTTTCAATCTGATTCAGAAATTTGTATTTGCCCTGGACATCAACAAGGTTCATAATGACAGAGGACTGAACCCATGTCAAGTTTAACTACTGATATTTTGCTCATCGAGACTTCGGCCTAAGGCTCGCATCCCCTCGCCATAGCTGTCCAATCCTCTTCTGAACGAAAAACCTCCTGAAGAAGAAAAGAACATCCTGTCATCATCTCACCCGAATCCTGGCATCACTTAAGTTTCAAGGTGAGGGTTTTTGCGAACATTGCGTGCATTGTGCAATTAGGACAGTTGACTTGGGGTATTATCGCGGAGGCACCATCTTCCAAGCCATGCCCACCTGTCCAGTTGCTTTCAACGTAGACGCTGCCACCCCGTCCAAATATCATGCATCGTTGCTTTTCGGTTGGTCTGGGACTTTACCCCATTCAACCTGACCTTTTTGGATCCCACTTTACCGCTTTTTTTGTTCATGGCCCTTGGCCCTGGCTGGCTTCTAGGCCCCATCACATCTCCTTCCCGGTGGGCCCCTTAACCACCCAAAAAGAACGGACCCTAATTGCGATGGAGCTGAATACGTGTCGTGATTTTGAGAGTACCTAGGGCGTCGTTTTCAATTGCAGAGAGAGAGAGGCGGCGGAGAAAGGAAAGGACGCTCAGATCTAAAACAAAACAAAAAAACCGAAACGAACGGTTATCACGAATTCCGAGACGATCACAGGGGAGGGTGAAATGACGTCAGCGAGACTGCGATACCGACCGGCCGTGGCTAAGGTTGTTAAGGGGAGGTGGGCCTCTTCAACCAATTACCAAGGAGCAGTCATTTCGTTAAATAAAAAATGGTCCAACATGTTGCATGGGAACCACGCCATGCACACGGCAACTGGGACTCGGAGAAAAAAAAAAAAAAAAACCAGAAGTGAGTAAGAGAGACCTGTTGCCAATTGTAGTGATAGCCGGCTAGTCACTTACAAAAAGGGTACACGGGATTTTCATACTCTCAGGTCTCAAAATTTTTATATTTCCAGGTCATTTTTTATTTTTAATTTTTCATTTTCATTTGATTTTCTTTAAAAAAAGCGGGACCCACTATGCTCTTTTTTAATAGCTATAAGGACGCGAGGGACTTTCACTTTATTCAGCACTCGTCTGTTGTAGCTTTCCTTCTCTAAAGCCACACTGACTCAAGTTTCTGTTTTTCTTTCATTCTCTCCTTAGCTCAAGCAAAATCCAAGTTTGTAGAGCTTCTGATCCAGCTACTTTTGGGCCTACAGTCTTGTATGTACTCTCTCTTTCTCTCTCATTCTTAAAAATATTCACTCTTTTGCTGATTTTTTTGGGGTAATATGAGTGCAGTTTACAAAATTTTCCGGCGAAGGTTAGCCGGAGAATGGCATATATGTTTCCGGATAGTGGAAATCTAATGGCAATCGCTCAACAAGTTATAAAGCAAAAGCAACAGCAAGAGCAACAAGAACAGCAACTCCACCGTCAGCAGCAACAGCTCCTAGGTCTCAGTCCTTTCTCTTTAAACCCTTCGCCCAACACCCACCATGGCGTTTCCAGCTCTCCCAATCTCGGATACGGGCTTTCGGGAACTGGATTTGCCGACCCGTTTCAGGGATATATTGGGGAAGGGTTTCAGTTACCTAACATGGAGTATCATTCGAGTGGGTTCCGGTTCCCGGATTTTTGTGGTGGTGTGGGTGGTATGTTTGACTCCAACGAGTGCATGGATAGCTTAATGAACGGTGGGGATTCAACGGATAGTTCGAATCTGCCGTCTGGTTGTGACGCGTGGCAGAACAATGCCGATTTTGGTCTCTGCGGTGCCGATCCGTTTACTGCTTGTCCGAATCGTCTCAGCGTAGCGTGTTCTACGCCGTCTGATTTGAACCGAGCGATTTTCTCAACAGAGGCACAGCAAAATCCTAGCAGTACTCTTCAAGCTCAGTCTCAACTACCTGCGTGGCCCCCATCTCCTCCGCCTTCTCCGCCTCAAGTAACCGTTAAAAAAACCAAAACAAGCAGTCCCCCGAGCCAGACCCCACCCCAAAACGACGCCGCAGGCCTCTCATCTGGTTCCCTCGGGACCGAGTCAGCTCCCCCGGTTTTAAAAGCTTTACTCGACTGTGCCAGATTTGCTGAGTCGGAACCTCAACGAGCGATTAAATCACTGGTTAGACTCAGGGAATCGGCATTTGAACGCGGAGATCCAACTGAAAGAGTGGCTTTTTACTTCACCGAAGCTCTCTATAGCAGAGTCTCTCTTCAAGCAGAGAAAAGATTGGCTATGCTGGAAACGACGTTGGAGGAATTCACTCTCTCTTACAAAGCACTAAACGACGCGTGTCCGTACTTGAAGTTCGCTCATTTCACCGCAAATCAAGCGATTCTGGAAGCAACGGAGCGAGAAAGCAAGATTCACATAGTGGACTTTGGAATTGCTCAAGGAGTTCAATGGGCTGCTCTTTTACAGGCTTTAGCGACCCGGTCTGCTGGAAAACCTACCCGAATTCGAATCTCCGGTATACCTGCCCCGGTTTTGGGAAAATCTCCGGCTCTTTCTCTTTGTGCCACTGGTAACCGTCTCCGTGATTTTGCGAAGCTTCTGGATTTGAATTTTGAGTTCGAACCAATTCTGACTCCGATTAAGGAACTTAACGGGTCGAGTTTCCGGGTTGATGAGGACGAGGTATTAGCTGTAAATTTCGTGCTTCAGTTGTACAATTTGTTAGATGAAGCTTTGATCACTGTGGAAACCGCTCTCTGTTTGGCTAAATCTTTGAACCCGAAAATCGTGACATTGGGTGAGTACGAAGCGAGTTTAAACCGAGCCGGGTTCGAGAACCGGTTCAAGAACGCATTGAGGTATTACTCGGCCTTGTTCGAATCATTGGAACCGAACTTGCCTCGTGACTCACAGGAGAGAATCCAAGTCGAGAGACTATTACTCGGTCGGAAAATCTCGGGGGTTATCGGACCGGAGGAAGCAGAAAACCGAAGGGAACGGATGGAAGACAAAGAGCAATGGAAGGTTTTAATGGAAACTGCTGGTTTTGAAACGGTTGCCCTTAGCCGTTACGCTATAAGTCAAGCGAGAATTCTGTTGTGGAATTATAATTACAGCTCTTCGTATTCACTGATTGAATCCCAACCTGGATTTCTCTCTTTAGCTTGGAACAATGTGCCTCTACTCACGGTCTCATCGTGGCGTTGATGATTTCAGGGATTTTTAGCAACCATTGTTGTAAAATTTTCTGGTAATTTTTCTCTAGTGTGGAACGGAACATATTCACTTTGAGAAGACTCTTGGGGCTCAGCTCAGTGAAAACAGTGGTGAAATTCAAGTGCAATTGAGAAGCTTTTTAGAGTTTTCTTTCGTATTTTACTTCTGGGTTTTCCTTTTGTTGGGGTTTTTTTTAATAGGTCATGACAAAAATTGTAACATAGGGGAAATTAAATTCAGGAGTACATTTATCTTAGGTGTCAAGTAGCTTTGTACCATATAAAAATTTGATAACTTTTTATACGGTTTTTTTTATTTATTTCCTAATTTCATGTTAATGTCAATGTAGACTTGAGTTCAGTTCCATTGCAATAGAATGTGAAAACTGACTTAATGACTTGGAAGTTAATAGTTTTCTTGTGCTTTTGGGTTGTTGAACCTGGAGTCTTGTTCTGGTCACTCCTGTCATCAAATTTTTTCACCTTGGCTGGCCGGCCTGCACCTTGCAGGGTGCAGTAAAAACCATGAACAAAACTGGTAAAAATGTCAGTGTCTTTCAGGCACTGTAATTGGGTGTTTTAATCGAGACTTGAGTCTTGTATTGAACAGTGGTTTCTGTATTTGGTGTTTGATGACGACCAGCACAGTACTTAATGATTTCACTGTTTAAGGTTTTATGTTTAAAGACTTTTATAGCAACTGTGTTTGCGTAAATGATCTGGCAGGTCATCTTTTACTTACTATCTTCTCTCGATCAAACTTTCAGTCTTTCAGGCTGCTGCTATCTTTATAATGAGCACCGTTTTATTTTGTTATTTGGCTTGGAAAAGGACTTTGAATTTGCATCCAGTGGTTGTTGCCATCCCTGCTAATCTTAATTTTCTTAGACTCTATTTTAATTGACAGTAAAATTAAAAATTATTATTATTATTATTGTAATTACAATTTAAAAAATTAATAAAAATTTATATTTAAATTAATTAAAAATATGATAAATTTAATTATATTGCATCAAAAATTAGATAAATTTCAAACAGATACTTAATCTATGAGCCTTCTTACCTGTTGCTTGTAGATTTAATGGCTGTCATTTTCATACATGAGTTATCCTCTGATTGTGGATTTCTCTTTTGATTATAGACATAAAATCTTTATTGTCCAATTTCCACCCAATAGAGGAAACTGAAGGGAGAGACATCAGAGACAGAGAATAGCTTGAACATGATATTTCATTTCATCCTTCGCATAATTGAGATCAAACAAGGCTGATGAAAGCAGCCTGTTTCCAACTCCCTAGAACTAATGGGCCAGAGGAGGACAAGAAATTATTAGTTTTGCATGATGTTGTTTCTAATCCACTGATTGAGACCAGAGTATGGGGTCACTTATAGCCATAAGATAGTTGAGAGGTGAACCCCATGTAACTAGATTACCCTTTTTGGGCTCATTTATGGGTCTCTGTGCCACTACTTTTCCTCCAAAGCTCATCTGGAATGTTTCCTGGAAGGGCCAGTACTTGCTTTAGCCTCTTTTGCATAGAAATTTTACTCTTGGGACTTTGTAGCAGTTGTCAGAATTTGGCCAGCAATTTCAATTCGTCCTGGTGGATTAATGCCTTCCAGGAGGCATTGATAAGCCTGATATTATTAACTAGATCTACGTCCCTAAAGAATCATGACCAACAAGATTTAATTTCATCTTGATTCTTGCACGTGAAGAAGAGAGGGTTTTCCCTTTTTTCTTCTTTTCCTGAGGATATTGGCGTCCAAAATATAGTGGGATTTCTTCTCGTCTTTCGGTACCTTTTCCTTCCCTAGTTTTATTCTCCCATTATTTTCAAACAATATGACCATGGGAATAGGAGCTGCAGTTTTGAATATACGCGAATCCTAAATTGCGCCATTAACACTGGTGGATACAGGATACAACCCCACCTACACAAACATAAGCAGACAGTCCACCAGAGCAGAAATGGCATTAAAATCCACTGAAGTCGGCCCGAAAAGATTGACAAATAATGCTGCAAAATCAAGGGCCAAAGACGCCCAAAGCCGCCCTGACCCCTGACATCTGACATCATGCACGTACCCTGTACAATCTGGGTAACCGTACCACAGAACAGCCCCCGTTTCTTTTCCTTAGCTCTTAACTGCCGTTGGTTCTGATGGTGCCTTATGAGATCATCATCTGCCAGCAGCAGCAGCAACTGTCGAGTGATCTCACAATCTGGAGACAAGAGACTTTGCAATGTCTCCCCTCTCGCTCTCTGAACTAATCTGACACTGCGAACTTTTTTTAACCTAGGCAGCGCATCTCTCGCATCTTTTTTGTTTTCTAAAATGTAAAAAATGCTTTGATTTTGCTGGTTTGCCAGACCCACTTTTTTCCATAAGCCCAAGTAGCCCAAAAGATATAGCATAAGTGAGAATTTTACGAGCCCACGAAGAGTTCAATGTGACCCATTACGTTGCCCTTTTTTTTTCGAGTCGAAGAATCTGAACATGAAACATTCATTTTCTAAAACTTAGCCAATTTGCTAGTTATTTGAAATATTTAATGCCAGCTAACTTAAATTGAACGTAAACCCTGTTTTGTTGTCATATATGTTCATGCTGCTTTGCTAATCCGTTTCGAAATCTTAAAAGGCCTGGCAATTGCTGCGGCAATTTTCGGTTTTTCTAAGCATTTCATTCACCTTCTTAGTCAAAGATAATAATGATTTAAATTGAATCGATTTGATTTTTTAGATAATATATAATATTATAAAATTTTAAATTTTAATTTTAATTTATATTAATTTTTTAAAAATTAATTTGATCTGAATTAAATTTTATCGATTTTATTTAATTTATTAATTTATTATATTATTTTAATAAAATTTTTAATATATTTAAATAAATTTTTATATAATAATTATTTTATTTTATAAAAATTTAAAAATATATAAATAAATTAATTAATTTAATTTAATTTGATTCAATTTTTTTATTTTTTTATTTTGGATCAAAAATTTAATTTAAAATTAATATATGTATATTTAATATTTAATTTTAATATAAATCAAATAAAAAATTAATTTAAATTAAATCAAATATAATAATTTGGAATCAAATTTTATTTATTTTTTCTCGCCCTTACTCTTCGAATTTGGAAATAACTGGATCATCGTTATCCAGAAACCAAGCCTTACCCTATGGAAATGCCATCTGGGTGAGAGAATTACCTGCAAGTAGAGCTGAAAACCCCCACGTAACCATAACCGCATAAAAAATCGACACGTGTCCACAACATTTCCATGCGTCTTTACCAAGAAAGAAATTTTCTGATTTTTTTGTAGGACTGCCTCGATCAACACTATTGAACCGGTCTTGAGTTCTGTCTTTAGCCTTTAATGACACGTATTTATTGACTAAATCACTTCATCTATGATGTGTATATAGCGATCTTCACAACTCGAAAGAATGGGGGAAATGAATCAAGCAATTCGATCAGTTTCGAGCTCAGCCACCAGCAATTTTCTCGTTGGGACACAAAAGTTCAGCGATCAGCTTCGGGACTGTCACAAATTCTTCCACGCGTCAAGAAAACCCACAAAGCATGGAGCAGAAAGAAACAATCCGAAGGAAAAAACTGGGTTAGTAACATGAACATTATTGAAAAAACTGCTTTACGTTTTTGCTTCTCTATCTATCGTTACCTGATATAAAGCGTAATCGAGTAAAGATGGATTGATACAATAAAATTTTCAAATTTGATTTAAAATTTATTATTTTAAATTTTATTTGAATTCGATTAATTTTAAATTTTAAATTCGAAATAAAAAAATAATTCGATGAATTATTTATATTTATTCGATTAAATTTGTTTATTAAATAAAAATAATTTAATTTTTATATTTAATTTTAAGTTTAATTATTTAAATTTAAATTTTATATATAATTAAAATAATATTTTATGAATTAAAATATAAAAAAATCGATTAAATTTATAAACTATTCAAATAAAAAACTTAAATTTAACTCGTTTAATAATTTAAATTTAATTTATTTGATAAATTGATTTATTAAAATAATTTAATAATGATTAACTTAAATTTAAATTTTATTTGAATTCAATATTATTTTTATATTCAATTTTGATTATTTAAGGGATTTGATGTCTCATTCATTTGGAGAGGGATATGCGACGAGGTCAGATGAAGAAGGATTTGGAGGGATTTACGGAGGGAACCAGAGTAAATCCGAAATACAAACGGACAAGGAGATCAACGAAAATCATCCAGGTGAGTTGAAGCCTGAATTAAGGTCGTTGCGAGAAATATTCGTTTGTATTTTTAATTGAACGAGTCTGCTTTTTGTGCATGAAGCTTATGACAAGAGCCAGGGGACTGAAGTAAAGGAGAAGGAGAAAGCCAGGCACCAAACTCACGCATCGAATTAATTGGGGAACATAGAGAATTTGATGTTTAATAACATCTATTTGCCAATTATTTTCTCTTTCGACTGCCTAGTCTTTCTATGTGATCATGATTAAAAATATAAATAATATATTAATACTCATAAATTATTCGAATTCGATCTGAAAAAAATTTGAATTCAATTCGATTATTATCGAGTCGAATTCAAACTCGAATAGTTCGATTTATCAATCGAATCGAATTTAAATATTTTTATATTCGATTCGAATAGCTTGCGAACCTAATCGAATTTTTATATTTAAATATATTTTCATTATTTTAATTAATAAATTATTTCGAATTTAAATTCGAACATAAATAATCAAATTTTTATCGAGTATACGAATCGAGTTTATTTTTATATATTAATTAAATTTAATCGAACGAGTTTGAGTAACTCGAATTTAATCATGAATAAAAATTTAAATTTAAAAAATAAAATTCGATCGAATTTGAATCAAATATCGAATCGTAAGTTATTAATTGAATTTAAATTTTTTATTGTATCGATTAAATTCGGTTCGATTACATTTTTAATTATAACAGCTCGAGAGTCGCTCATCATCTCCATGTGTTTGTCAATGTGTTCTTTAATTCTTGTTTGATGTCCTAATCCAGCAAATGTAAGGTCATTATAATTTTGATGGTGGCATGTAGTTTAATTGTTTTATTTCTCCCTTCTTTATAGGCCATAAAAAATTATTTTTATTTATATGTAGTCAAACTTTATTAAATTTCTTTGGATCGGTTCTTTTATTATTTTGAACGAGTTATTATTTTTTGATATTTAAAATTTTAAAAAAGTTATATAAATTGATATTTAAAAATAAAATAATAATATTAACTTATAATCATGATAATTCAAATTTTAATCTTGTTATCGCATAAGTTATATAATTGGACGTTTGATAATTATTATTCATTATTACATTGGGTGTATGAAAAATATTATTGAATAGGTATTATTATATATATTTTTAATATTTTTAATATAAAATTAAAAAATATATTTTTATATAAATAATAAAAATTATCCAAAATTGATCTGACATCTATATAATTTTTTTTTTTGCAAAATATTTAATATTTTATTTAAAAATAATATAAATATGTATTTAATAAAATTATATTGATTAAATATTATATATTGGCAAGTTAAAGTTATCAATGTTAGTATTAGATTTAAATAAAAATGATATATAATTTAAAAGTTTAGAGAATAAAATAAAATTTTAATTTTTCAATTATCAATTTATACAATTTTTTTAAAAATTCAGCTACCAAAATATAATTAATTATTTTTAAATACAAAAATAAAAATAAAAAATTAAAAAAATTATCCATAGACTATTAGTGAAATTGAAGAAAATGGATACAAAATAATTAGAATGTAGTTTTTTTTTTCTTTTCTATTTTATTTTATAACCAAAAAAATAGTTTAAGTAAATGTTTTTATTTTTATATTTATTTTAAGTTTTTATGTTTTTCTTTTCATTCATTTTTTCTGAAAACAGAAAACAAAATAGAATTACTAAAATAAACATTTGGCTAATAAATCAACTTTGTTTTAAATTAAATAATTCCAAAATTTAAACATTCCTAAATGAAACAGCAATCTCGTGAAACAAACAAGCACGGTAGGTACAATTTGCCTGTGTTTTAGATGGAAAGATTTTTTAGGGTAATAGAGTCCTTTTCTTATTAACAAGGTCGGATAAGATTGAGAACGAACCTAACCCAATTTGCGTAACCACAACGCAATTTCACAACATTCAACTGTACCCAACTCATACGCTTACGTGGCGCCAACTATTGGACAATTTCTTTTTAACATAATTTTCTAGAAAAAGGCCACCGACTTAGTACACGTGGACGCATGTTACCCGTTCATCTTTCCAACACTCTTATCTTGACCGTCCATTCTTCAAAAAGCCACTATATATTTTAGTCTTTGTTTGTTGAAAGTTCCATCATAAACTCCTCTTATGTTTTTCATTCTTGCCGTCCACTTTGTGCAGATCAGATTTATCTCCATGGTTGTCCGTCTGAGGATTCTATTTCAGAAGCTAGTCGCATGGCTTTTGATCTCCTTTTTATATCAGATTTTGGCACGATAAAAAGATTGACGTTGTCGATCTTGTTTTATAGGCAGTAGATGTTAATCAGGCCAAAGATTGGCGTAGATGTTTATATCAATATGAAGAGATCTGTCTTCCAAGTATGTTTTGTCTCTGTTTCTTTTTTCTATGTCAGGGTCCTTATTTATGTTTTAATTCTATAAATTTTGCCGGGATTGTGAAAGATTTTATATATGTTTGTTATGTTTCTTTTTTCTTGTGTTGGGTTTCTTTGTTTATGTTTTGCCTATAATTTTGTAGGGATGGTGAAAGGTTTATCTACAAGGGTCGTGGTTTATTTTTCGATGGCATCGTGAAAATCGGCTTCTGATGTTGTGCACTAGCGATGTGGGATGGACGGGTGGTTTGTGTTTGGAAGGATGTCTAAGATGTTAGGGCAAAAAGTCCTAATTATTTTGGAAGGGGGCTGATCCTGATTTATCTTTGTCATCCCAGATCTTTGCCATGGCAGGTGCGCTTGCATGGCAGGTCACTGAAACATAATAAAAATTTAGGTTTTCTCGGTGTTTTTGAGGGGAGTTCGCATGGGGATTGCCCAGGTTCTCCCCTCTGCTGTGGTGTGGCGTTTCGTGCTCTTTTACTTTTTTTTTTCCCCTTTTAGCGTTCTATTATTTTCTCCCTTTAATACTCTGCACCATCTGAGATGGATGCATGACCAACATCATCGCCAACATCATCATCATCATCGTCGCCAACATGGAATAATAATCTTATGATCTCCCAAGTCATTGATCTTCTACTACTTGCAAATCGCAAGGCCAAGGTATTATTTACATATTTCAAACCAAAATTTGCCTTATATAGTTTTACTTCAAAATTAATTTAGATATTTGCTATTTATTATGCAAGTAGATTTACCAATAACTTGATAACATGCAACGAGTTCCTTTGAGATGATTTTTAATTATTCATATTTTTTAATAAAATTATTTTGAATTTTTTTTTTTTTTTAAAAGTTAGGCAGTACTAAGTTGTTTTAAGTAACTCGTTTACAATTTTTTTTTCTTAGAGAAACTTAATTATAAAACCAACAATCTATCAATGAGATTGAATTCAATTAAAAGAGTCGGTACTCAAGTATCTGATATACTTGCAAAATGAGAAGTTGAACACATCTCCAATTGCCATGGTTCCTTTAGAGCAATAGATTAATCACCATTTCTAAATGCATTGGATCCTAAGGCCATTTCAGATAACTGTTTTTTGTACAATTGGCTTCCGTTACGAAGTGCTGACAATAAAGGCCATCTAGTTAACACATTAAAAATTTCCTTTTTTGAAGTTTATCTTATACACATGGATCAATTTACCAGTTTCAATCATGATTATTCTATTTTGAGGCTCATTTGCATCTGATATTGTTGTGCCTGCAAAATCTTAGGTGCCCTTGAATTGCCTATGATAGTTTCTTTTATCATAGTGATTTACATTTTCATTTTACTTGTCGAAGTGGAATGCGAGTGAGCATCTCAGTATTGTTTTTCTAGTGCATTACCAAACTGTGTATTCTTAGGAAAATGTTATATGTAGGTTGAGGCAGCATATATGTACTTCGCTTGTATTGCTATTTGTAGTTCTTTAGGCCCTTGCATGGGCTTCTGTTTCCATTGGGTTGAAAGATGGGGTACTGGCTATCAAAGATTTTGATGAAAGATGTCCCAGCAGTGAGCATGATGTTGGCAGTTGCATGTCTCTTCTCTGTGATTAACATTGAAAATCAAGGTATGTGAAGTGTTTATCAAGCTTGGTGAACTTCCAAGATTTATGTCAGAAGGTATGTGGGACTGCAGCAGTCTACTAGTCAAGCTTTGGAAGGCCCCATATAATCAAAATTCATTACTACAGCAGGTCCATCCCTTGAAAGATTTTTTCATCAGTTGCTTAATCTTGAACCCTTGAAGGCCTTATTATTTGAACCCCTCTTGTTTTACATGGTGCAGCTCTCTACTGACATTAGTGTGGAGGAACTGTTATTTGTTGTCCAAGATTGATCCATGAGGCACCTGTCACCATGTAACCAGTTCCTTTATATAGTGAACTTTTTCAGTGGACTATGGTCCCGTGGTTTTTCCCCTTTTTAAGGGGTTTTCCACGTAAATTTTGGTGTTCAGTTTATATTCATACGCGCAATTATGTTGGTGATCGGCACTTTCCCGATTATATCAAAGCTGAATTACTTTTTTGGCGCTCTTGATATGCCTATCACATAACAGGTAGTCTTTTTTCATTGTTCCCTAAGTATCAAGAAAAAGCTAATAACATCTAAATGGATTTTTATCTGATTTATTCTTAAGTTTCTTTTGCAGGTTGAAGGCACATTGAATTTAGTGTGTTAAAGGTTCTATGTTTTAAATTTAGCTTTTGGTAGTGAAATTGAATCGCAAATATTTCTATGAAAATTTCCTTGTTTTATTAGTAGTTCTATTGTGGGTTTTATATTTGAGCGGTGATGAAGTATGTTAATAATTATGTTTTGTCTTTCTATTGTTATTTTGAATTTTAGTAGTGTTAGATTGAACTTTCTTTCATAGCCCTTTAATATTTAAACTAAAAACTTTATAAAATGAAAACCAAAAACAAAAATGAATTTAGATTGGTTTTTTTTTTTTTTTGGTACTATTTTTAGAAATTCTATTTAATCAAACTACATTTTATGTGAATAAATTATTTGTTTCAACATTATCTTACTAGTTTTCAATTACGAGTTCGTTCCATTATATTTTTAGGGTGAAAATGATGACTATAATTGATTTCTATTTTATAGAGAAAAAAAATCCTGTGGTGAGAAATTTTCTCGATTGAAAATTCCCCATTTCTTGGTTGTGAAAATTACGGTGATAAGTATTTTTTTTTCTCCTTTTCCGAGTAAGTGAAATTAAGGGATCAAATGATATATTAGTATTCATAAGATTGGATTTGATTAAAATAAATTTAGAATTTGGTTTAATTATTTTTTAAGTTAAGTTTAAGTTCAAGTAATTTGATTCATCAATTAAGTTTTTGATTCATCAATTAAGTTGAGTGTTAAATTTATTTATAATTATTATAAGTAACTCGTGAGTTTAATTAAATTTTTATATTTAAATATATTTTTATTATTTTAATTAATAAAATATTTAAAATTTAAGTTTAAATTTAAGTATGAATAATTAAATTTTTGTTGAATATAATAATTGAGTTTATTTATATATATTAATTAAATTTAATTGAATAAGTTTAAGTATGATTTTTATTTTGAGTGAAGTTTAAGTTAAAAAAAAAAATTAAATCATGTTTGAGTTGTGTTTTATACTTTAAATTTGGAATTGAGTTAAACTATAATATTGTATTAATTTAAATTCGATTAATTATATTTTTATTAATTATTTTTTAGTGGCATGCGTGTGTAAATTATTTTTTTATTCGATAGGATAAAAAATAAATTTGATTTTTCGTAACAATGGAACGCTATTATGGGATGCAAAAAAGAGGGTTTTGTTGCATTTTAATTTAATTTAATTGGTTTTTGTAATTATAATTAAAAATTGATATTTGGTAAATTTAAATTTTAATATGTTTACTTTATTTTCAAAATATTTTATTTTTAAAATACGATTTTTTTATATAAAAAATAAAAAAAAATTTGTGAGAGTTTTAAGGTTTTATATTTTATTTATCAGTTAAGAATGTTTATATATATATATATATTTATTGAATCTAACGAATTTATAAAAATTTATAAAAAATAAATTTTATCGGACTAATTCTAAGTATTATGGACGGTGTGTTAAATAATAGGTATGATCATCGATTCATATTTTTGTTTCTTGTATTTCAAAAGATTTGTAAACTCAAAACGATATAGCAATCACTCCCAATGGGAGCTTCGAGAGGTTAATGGTTCGAATCCATTCAGATCTCTATAATTACCTGGACCTTTCATCTTGGTATGATTGTATCCAATCATTTCATGGAAAAATCAAATCCATTTATAAACACATACCCCGGGCTGACAAGATTGGACTTTCATAAATTGCCTTTTAATAATACTATATTATTTTCCCTTTTTTAAAATATTAAATTTTGAATTCGTGAGAAAAGGTCCACGTGGCTAAAGGCACAAAAAAATTTTCATTACAAATAGATCCACCATCAAAATGTCAAAACTTCACTTTGGTAGGAAAAATGAAAAAAAAAAAAAAAACTTAATCTAATTATTGAGTTATAAAATAATAAATTTTGATTATTTTAATTCTAATAGAATATGAAAATTGTTAAATGATAATTCCCTTTTAACATGTTAAATATAAAATTAATTTTTTTATTTTTATTAATCTCTATTATTTTTATTTAGATTTTAAATCTAATAAAATTATTAAATTTTAAAATATTATACATGTTATGAATCTTAATTATTAGATTAATTTTTCATTGTTCCTTTTTTTAAAAACTTCTATCCCGAACGTAAACTCAAACTGCTAAAACCGTTTGGGACAACTTCAAATTTGCGCAAACTGCAAGTCCCAACCCATTGGCCACTGCGTTGACAATAGAGATAAGGTTTGACAAACGATGATTCCTGTCTATTTCTTCCCATCATATCTTTCGATTTGGTCGAATCAGGATTATAGGATTTAAAGTCCCAAGGCTTGCAAATGCCCTTAAATTCAACGAGGTGGCATAGTCAACTAAATACGATTTATACGTTTGAAAACTACTAATACAATTTTTTTATTAATTTGTTATAGATTTAAAAATTTAAAATACATTAAGATGATACAATAAAAATATAATATAAAAATAAAATTTAAAAATGATATAATTTAAAGTTATATTAATAATTATATATTAGTGTAATAAAAATTTTATATTTTATATTTTATATAATTTAAATTATAATACATAATTTTTATATAAAATATAATATAAATATATAAATTTTAATATTTTATATTATATAAATTTACAAATCGGGAAAATTTTTTTTTTTAAGTAATTGAAAATTGATAGCTGTTCATAAAAAATTTTATAACATAAAATCTCTTCAAATCTGGATGCTGAACACGGCTGCTTGTATATTGCTTATAAAAAAGGTGTTTTTATTATTTGTATTACTTGAATAATATATTTTTTTATTTAAGTTTAAGATTGATATTCAATGATTTTAAATTAAATATAAAAATTAATTAAAAACAAAAATAATTTAAACTAATATCATTTACTTATGTGAAAATGTATTATTTATTTTTAAATAAACTTTCGTTGTTTTTTTTAAATAATTGAAAGAATCATTTCTTAATAAATAAAGTGGTTGCTTTTTTTTTTACTTTTACAAAGAAAACAGTTAAAAAATCATTCACCGCTATTAAGAAATTTAAAATCTCCCCACTTGAAACCATAAAAAAAAAAACTTTGTTTTGTGTCAGGTAAATATAGTAAAATTTTATGTTCAATTGTTAGGAAATTAGAAAATAACCAAAAAAAAAATGTTTGTTAACATTTTGATTTCCAACAAATTAAGATAGGCAATCATAATTTTTTTATAAAAAAAATAATTTAGGGATAAAAAAATTATGATATTAAAATTTAAAATTATTAAACAAGTTTTATCATATATAAAGTTCAAATTATTACTGCATCAATAATAATTGATTGAATTTTGATTCCAAGAGTTCAATGCCGTAGTATATTTGCCTGTTACCAGAACATCGGAGTTCTCCCATCCTATCCCTAATTATAGATTAAATCATTCGTCAACGTGAGCTTAAAGACTTTTCTTTTGTTTGTTTGGCCAAGAACGAAAAAAACAACATGAAACCAGTTTTTCTTTGTGGCAGTAGTTCTAGAAACGTTGCTAGGTCGAGGAAATATCACCAAATAATAAACGCGGTGCAATGTCATAAATAAATTTAATAATTTAATAATTTATGTTATGTAAAATATTTAAATTTATATATTTATATTATATTTTATATAATCTTAATTAATTTTATTAAATTTATATATTATTATTAAAATTTTAAATTATATTATTTTTATTTTTATTTTTTATATTATATTTATATCTTGTTATTATGTCATATTTTAAGTTATTGATTTAGAGAATCAAGAAGTGGGAAGGACCACGAAATTTATGACATGATTTGAAAGCTAAAGAGAAAAAAAAAAAAAAAGGCTATGGGAAGGACCCTAATATGTAATTAGTTGTTAATGTCACTTTGTAAATTTTAAAGTATGTCACCTACAAAAATAGGGGTTTAAAATTTGAATTTGCCTTACCTCCTAAGAGCAAAGAGTCTTAGGAAAAATGATATCGCATTTATTAATTAAGTATAAAACTATAATTCTTAAAATAAAGATCACTCTTGCTTTCATAAAAAAACTTCTTTTCAATGAAAAAAAAATTTGTTAAGATAAGTCTCCGAATCTTAAGAGTAAATAATATTTTGTATTGAATTTAGTTCAATAATACTAATTTATTGTATTAACAATGGTGTTTTTGAGAATCAAATCGTTGAAAAATTAATGTCCCAATTCGAGTAGTTAGTTAATGAATTATCCAACACAATGATATAATAACAAAATAAAATAAAATTTAAAATTTTTTTTTTTAATAATGATACGAACGTTCAATATAGATTCTCTTTTTCTGTTGATTTGTTTTTATTTTTAATTTATTATTAATTTTTTTATCTTATTGTTTATTTGATTGAGAAAAAATTATATACATAAATTTTTTGAAATTCACAATCTTTAAATATCAATTTTAATAATATAGCAATCGGTCGACTTTTTCATCGGTTTTTTTTTTCGATGGTGTCAATTATTATTTTTTAGAGTAACCCGAATATGTTCTAAAGGTTAAAAAAATTGCTAAATACGCAGAAAAATGAATGGCACATGGCAATTGTCTAGCTTAAGAAGAAATTCATTATGGTTAGGCAATCCATTCTCCATGTGGGGATGAAAACTTAAACACCCCTCCCCCCCCCTTTTTTTTTTCTTCTCTGATTTTAGTAACTCTAACAGCAATGCCAATGAACTTAGCTTTTTGTATGTAAAAAATGATAAATTTTCCTTATTTTTGTTAGTAATTTTCTTAGAAGTAATAGATTATATATATTCATGATAATTAATTAGTTATTTAAAACCATACTGTAAAATTTTAAATCAATTCGATAATTTTAATAATTTTGGTTCAATAAATAATATAATCTACAGCTTTGCTCATATAAATTAGCAGTACTTAGATGCTAATCCTAATAAAAAATTGTCATATTCATTAAAAAAAAATGAGAACAATGTTAGTGTATTTGTTACAAGAAAAAAAAAATCTAAACTAGAAGTACTTAGTTGTTAACCCTAATTTTTTTATCACACAAATTCAACTTTGATTATTTTTTTAATAAAATTATAAATTATAAACTTTTAAAGATAATGACTTGTGAATTTTTAATTCCAAAATTTTCAAAAAATATATTTTTTAAAATTTTAATTTAATATAATATTTCAAAATAATAACCAAAATTAAATATGAAAAAAATAAAATGGGACAAACAAAATATAAAGTACGAATAAATTAATAAAAACCCGACGATATTGGAGTCCAAACTGGTGCCCAATGCCCGGTCCGAAAGGAAAAATATTTGGTGGTCCAAGTTTTCGGCCTTTAGTAAAAGTCGTTTCGTGAAAAGAAAAAACAAAGTCTGCCTGGGTCCCACTTTTCACTAAAAAATTAAAAAAAAAAACGTAAGACTAAACCAACACTGTGGTCTTGCCTGGCTTTCCCACCATAATAAAGCAAGATCTCTCCCTCTGTCTTGCTTGAATTGAATGACACGTTCGTAGGCTGAAATTTTTCCTCTGCTTTCTCGGCATAAAATCTGGTGATTTTATATTATTTTTCCCTGAAAGCTTCGATATTCAGCTGTTTTTGCTCAACTAGGTATGGATTTTTTTTCTTTTTTCTTTTTATTGTCATCTTTTTTAACGTTTCAAGTTCTTGTTCTGTTTGATAAAAACCGGCCGCCGGCCTTTGAAAAAACCGATCGTTAATTTCTTTGTTTCGCCACAAAATATTTCATATTAGGTAATCCTTATAGTGTTGTGACTCGTGAAGTAGATCTACATGCATTGACTGATTCTTCTTATGTATTTTTATTTTTAAAATTTGTGTTGATCATAAGACTTGAAGAAAATATTCTTTTTGTTTTAATTTTACTTAGAGATAGATCTGTTTTTAAATCGATGGATCTTTAAGAGCTTTCGATCTCTGTTAGTCGTTCATTGAATGGTTGAAATATCAACGCCATCATTCCATGACTTTTTCTTTTTCTTTTTTTTTTTCTCTGCGTTGCTTTTCGAAGTTTCATTTAAGAGAATTAATATATAATTAATTTCTTGTTATTGAAGTTATCAATAATCAACGTTTGTTATGAACTGTATAGTTTGGATTATTAAGATTGTGGTTGACTTTATTTGCAGTGAAAATGTTTCTTCGGAGAAGGCATACACAGAAGGATGATTCCGAGCAACGAGATGAAAAGGTAATATTTATTTATTTATTTATTCATATTTGTATTTTAAGTAGAAAACAAATTAGTTAATTTGGTTTATAGCTTTATAATTGTTGATCAAAAGGTTGGAAATAATTAGAAATGCTTCAAAGTTATTGGACTTTCTCTAGATGATGCAAAGAGGGAAGTGTCAAAATTAAGGCTTTGTTGGCTGGAAGGATGTAAAAATGGGGCGATAAAAATTTTCTTAATCTAATGGTTAAGCTACAAAGTAGGAAAGTGTTTTTGAATTTTAACCATTAGATTAACAAAATTTTCATCTTTCCTAACAAGCAAAGCTTGGTAGCATCAATATGAAATATTTGTAGTTTGACATAAAATTTTCCGTTGCAATTGCAAGTAAACTCAAAATACTTGGTTGATATGCAGGTCAGTGAACTCAGGGCTGCCATAGGACCCCTGTCTGGGCGCAGTTCAAAGTACTGCACAAATGCATGTCTGAGGAGATATTTGGAAGCTCGGAATTGGAATGTTGACAAGGCAAAGAAAATGTTGGAAGAGACATTAAAGTGGAGATCAACTTATAAGCCTGAAGAAATCCGCTGGGTATGTTAGATAAATTCGTGCATCCTTATTCTAGTAATGTGTATACAAGTGAGTGATCAGTCTCTGTCTTGTTAGAGCCGAATGATATTCCAAAATCTATTAGAATACTAGGTAGGTTCAAGTTGAAACTTGTTTAAATCAGTTTTGATGTCTCAATATAAAATTAAATTTTGATGATTCTGAAACTGGATAATTGTTCTTTCCTTCTACCTGATTACAGATCATGTGTTTCATTCTTGTATTTGCATATGATTATGAGTTTATAACTGGGACAATTTTTGGTGATACTTGAACTTACCTCATGACATGTTCTTCTCCAGCACGAAGTGGCGCATGAAGGTGAGACTGGAAAAGTTTCCAGGGCAAGTTTTCATGACCGTCAAGGAAGGACTGTTCTAATAATGAGGCCTGGAATGCAGGTTTGCACTAGGTTTCCTTCAATTTGTTTTGTCACCAAGCCTTTGCCCTATTAATTTTCCACCTTTATTTCTTGGCAGAACACAACATCAGCTGAAAATAATATCCGCCATATGGTCTATCTCTTAGAAAATGCTATCATGAATCTCTCTGAGGGCCAGGAACAAATGTCGTGGTTGATAGACTTCACTGGATTTTCATTGAACACCAATATTTCTGTCCGAACAGCCCGCGATATCATTTACATTCTACAGAGCCACTATCCAGAGAGGCTGGCAATTGCTTTCTTGTATAATCCACCAAGGATTTTTGAAGCATTCTATAAGGTTTGGTCTCCTGCCTTTCCGTTTGGTTTGTTTAGCTATAGGTCCAAATCACTAATTATCCTTGTTTCTGGTCTTTATTCCAAGCAAATCTTTTTCTCTTCTTTCTTTCATAGATGTTAAATGATAGCTCATTTAATCACATGAGGGATAATGAGCGAGCTGGTGTCCATTCATACCCATTAATTTTGAATACTATGATATAAAAAGGGTAGGCAGGAAGGAGATTGGCAAACCTAGAGAGTGGACTAGATCTTGTCCATGGAGTGCAAATGGTTTATTCCCTCTATTTTCTTCTTCCTGTTACAGGGTGTGAGCTAGCATAAAAGCAGTGTATTTAGTTCCCCAGATTGTGACATTACCATGAATTGCATAACAGTTCGTTTAGGCATTAAATCTTTCACTTGATTGATATTATGCTATCTACATTTCCATAGGCGGTCAGGTATTTTCTGGATCCAAAAACATCTCAGAAGGTGAAGTTTGTTTACCCTAAAAATAAAGATAGTGTGGAGCTCATGAAATCATACTTTGATGTTGAGAACCTCCCCAGTGAATTTGGGGGAAACGCGACGCTGAAGTATGATCATGAGGAGTTCTCGCGATTGATGGCTCAGGATGATGTAAAAACTGCTAAATTCTGGGGAATTGTTGAGAAGCCCTACCACATTGCCAATGGCCATTCCGCAATTGAAGTGGCACCAGAGCCAACGCCCATTGCACAGGGAGCAAACTGAGAGCTTGCCTATTGTCCTGAATGGTCTGTCAGAAATCAAGTGATTCAATCCACAGATTTATCATCAAATTTAAATCAACTAATGGGAGCTGCAGATCAACATCCACTACCTTGCTTAGGTGATGAATAAACTTCATTTCTTGTTCTCACTGCTAACCATTAAGAACAAAAAGAAAAAAAACCATGTTTTGTACTTCAATGCTACTTTAGTTTTTCTTTTCTTTAAGATTGTCTTTAGAGGATAGGGCTATATTGTGCGTGTAACATAAATATATATATCATGAGTAAAGTTCATGTCCTCGTTTGGCTAATCAGGTCTTGTCAGGGATAACTTTGTTTTAGTGCTGCCATGTAATTTTCATGGTCATGGACTTTGTTACATTTAACTCTAAACATTCGAGATTTTAAGGTACTCACGCAGCGAATTCACAACTTTCTTTGTTTTGTAATCTCTAAGCAAATGAGGGATTTTTCTTTGATATATTTTTCTTGCTCGTGGTAATCTAAAATACAATGTAATAATATAATATATTTATATTATATATAAAAAAAATATTAAAAAATATTAAATATATATTTATATTTTTATATCAATATAAATTATAATATATAATTTTTATATAAATATTGTAGAAATACATTAATTTAATATTTTATATAATATAAATATACAAATCGCCGTACCTAGCTATGATCCCGGCCTATGGCTGTTTTACAATCTGTGGCTTATTGATTGTGACGTGGCGGGTTGTGATTGGAGTATATGAGTACAAAAAAGCGCGGGACCTGACGCCAACGTATTAGGCTCGTGGTTAGATGTTCGGCTGAAAAGAAACTGTGCCGTTTCAAATATTTATTCTCAAGAGCAAAACTTCAATGATTTGAGATCGGAAACAAACCGAGAAAATGGTTCACAGCGCCTATGATTCCTTCCAGCTCCTCAACGATTGTCCCACTAAAATCGATGCCATCGAATCCTACGGCTCGATGCTCCTCCTCGGCTGCTCCGATGGATCCCTTCGAATCTACGGTACCGATTCCTCAGGCGCCGATCGGTCTCCACCATCCGATCAGCACGTGTTGCGGAAGGAACCCTACGCACTGGAGAGAACCGTTGCGGGGTTTTCAAAGAAAGCTCTGCTTTCAATGGAAGTATTGGAATCGAGAGAGCTACTCTTATCGCTCTCTGAATCGATCGCTTTTCATCGGCTCCCCAATTTGGAAACCATTGCTGTGATCACCAAAGCTAAAGGCGCTAATGTATACTCTTGGGACGATCGTAGAGGCTTCCTTTGCTTCGCTAGGCAAAAGAGAGTTTTTATTTTCAGGCACGACGGTAATTTCTTTGAGTTTCTCTTTCTTTTGTTGATGTGATCTGTTTTTTTTTTTTTTTTTTTTATTTGGATTTGTTAATTGGATTCATACGTGTGGAATTGCTTGTTATTTCCTTGAATGAAATTGATTTGAAAATTAATGTGTAGGAGGGCGAGGGTTTGTGGAGGTGAAAGATTTTGGTGTACCAGATACAGTGAAGTCAATGTCATGGTGTGGTGAGAACATGTGTCTAGGTATTAGAAAGGAATACATGATATTGAATGCCACAAATGGTGCGTTATCAGAGGTGTTTTCTTCGGGGAAGATAGCGCCACCTTTGGTTGTTCCTCTCCCCTCTGGGGAACTTATTCTTGGGAAGGTACTGACTTATTTTAATAATTTGTTTATGACATTGTAGTTCCTTTGGTTAAGAAAGATACAAAATGCTTTCCTACTGTCTCTTAGGAAAATATTGGAGTCTTTGTGGATCAAAATGGAAAGCTTCTTCAAGCTGATAGGATATGTTGGTCGGAAGCCCCTGCTGTTGTTGTCATCCAGAAGCCGTATGCAATAGCTCTATTTCCGAGGCGTGTTGAGGTTGTACGAGTAAATACCAAACAAGATTGGTTTTTGTCTATCTAAATATTTATGCGCTTTCACTTATTTGTTCTTTGCAGATTCGCTCTCTTCGAGTTCCATATCCATTGATACAGACAATTGTCATTAATAAAGCTCGTCATCTGATGAAGAGTAACAATGCCCTTGTTGTGGCGTTAGACAATTCTGTTTATGGACTCTTCCCTGTTCCTCTTGGTGCACAGGTACTCCTCATATACTTTAGAAGTTAATGTTTTCCTATGAACCTCGATCCTTCTTTTGTCCTGTTGTTTATTCTTCAACATCGTATTTTGCCCTTGTTTTGTAACTTTTTCATGCTTTTGACTATGACATGCATATGCTAACTCTGAAGAAGTGCTTTGATTATTGCATTAAAATGTTCTACTTGCATTGCAGATTGTCCAATTAACAGCATCTGGAAATTTTGAGGAAAGCATTGGCCTTATGTAAAGTTGCTTCCACCAGAAGATGCAAGCCTTAAAGCTGCAAGGAAGTGTTCATTCATATAAGGGTGGATTTTTCCCCATTAACAAGTTATTAATTTGTGGAATTATAGCAAGTTTATTGGTTTAATATAGTGTTATATAAGAATTAAATGAATTATCAGAATGCTTATATCTTGTTTAAAATGCCACATCATAAGTGTACGCCTTTTAGAAAACTTTTTGCACATGGTCATGCTCCTTACTGTTCTCAAGCTAATATAACATGCATATGAAACATCAATTTCTTCCTTGAAAACTGTTATTTCCCTGGTATATATAATCATAATATTCAGACTTTTGTATGGTCCTCAAGTGATACATTCTGGTTATGTGGTCGTGTCACCTTGTTGCAGATATGCTCATTATCTTTTTGACAATGGGTGCTATGAGGAGGCAATGGAGCAATTTTTGGCATCTCAAGTAGATATTACTTATGTGCTTTCTTTGTATCCGTCCATTGTTCTTCCAAAAACAACTGCAGTTCCAGAGCCAGAGAAGTTGAAGGACCTCTCTCTGGATACTTCACAACTTTCAAGAGGTTCATCTGGTATGTCGGATGATTTGGAAACCTTGCTTCCACAACTATCAGAACCTGATGAGCATGCAGCACTTGAGTTCAAGAAAATGAGCCACAATACTCTTATGGCTCTTATTAAGTTCCTACAGAAGAAGAGATGCAGTATTGTAGAGAAGGCTGCTGCTGAGGGAACAGAAGAGGTTGTTTTTGATGCCGTTGGGGATAATTTTACTTCGACTAGGTTTAAGAAGTCCAATAAGGTGAGGCAAATTTCATATTTTGTAAATGTCATCAATGTTTGTTAAAGAGAAGCCTATTTTGTGATTCTATGTAAACTCATACATAGAATTTGGCTTTATGCAGAAGTGCACAATTTTATGGGCATAAACCAACTTAAATTTTTGGACATGCAATCCCAATATAATTGATAAAAAATTCTTGCAATCACTTCTGTTAACATCCAATTTCCTTTCATTTGTTCAAAACTTACATAATCTATTCCTTTTTAATGGTCTAACATCATGTTTGGTCCCTTAGGGGCGTGGCAACATTCCGATTAACTCAGCAGCTAGGGAGATGGCAGCAATACTGGATACAGCCCTCCTCCAAGCTCTACTTCTTACTGGACAACCATCAGCAGCTTTAGAATTGCTTAAAGGTCTTAACTACTGTGATGTAAAAATATGTGAGGAGATTCTTCAAAAAGGAAATCATTATGCAGCTCTGTTAGAACTTTACAGAAGTAACTCAATGCATCGTGAAGCTCTAAAACTTCTACATCAATTAGTAGAAGAGTCAAAATCAAACCAATCTCAAGCTGAACTAATCCTAAAGTTCAGTCCTGAGGAAATTATTGAATATCTCAAGGTCAGTTTATCAATTAGTGGGAAGCTCTTTTGCTCTTATTAACATAATTTATCAACACTAATTATGTTCATGTTGTGGAAGCATTAGGCTATGCATGTCGGGTGGAATGTGGAAGATAATATTATATTTTATGAAGGAGACTATCTGAAGTTTGACCCCTGAATAATATGAGAAGATAATGTTAATTTTGTTATGGCTTGACCTTGTGGATCATACTCCATTAGCTTTGGGCATATATAATTGCTTTTATTTGTTGCAATGTTCATTCCATGGGCACAAGAACATGCTTGATAAAACTTCTTTATGCTGAACTCTTTGACTGTTTTTTTTTTTTTTTGTAGCCTCTCTGTGGCACTGATCCCATGCTTGTCCTTGAGTTCTCGATGCTTGTACTTGAAAGCTGTCCAACACAAACCATTGAGCTTTTTTGTCTGGAAACATTCCAGCAGACTTGGTCAACTCTTATTTGAAGCAGCATGCTCCAAGCATGCAGGGCAGATACTTGGAGCTTATGCTTGCAATGAATGAAAATAGGATCTCAGGGAACCTGCAAAATGAAATGGTAAAGACTGTTTGTTATCAAAATAACTTAGTTCAGTTGTCATTTGAAGCCACTGGATCTCTAATGGTTTCCCTTTGTGTTGGTGATAGTGCAGCTAATATTACTAGCAATGAATATTGTAGGTACAAATCTATCTTTCTGAAGTACTTGAATGGTACTCAGAACTAAGTGCTCAACAGATATGGGATGAAAAGGCTTATTCTCCAACTAGGAAGAAATTATTGTCTGCATTGGAAAGCATCTCAGGATACAATCCAGAGGCACTGTTGAGACGTCTTCCTCCAGATGCTCTATTTGAAGAGCGTGCAATTTTGTTGGGAAAAATTAACCAACACGAGCTTGCACTATCACTATATGTTCATAAGGTAGTTTCTGGCATGGTTCATTTGATTTCCTTCTCTTAAGAAAGATGGTTAACAGAAAAAACTAGAAGTTTTTGAATCTTTGATTGAGCTGAGGGTACTATAACACACTTATTTTTGTTAAAAGAGTTGCATAGATATTAGTTCATTCATACCTCTCTCTCTCCTCTTTTTTTCCTTCTTTTATATCTCTTGTTCTTCATTGTAAATATCCCCCTACTAATGAATTCCTCTTGACCTTTATAGCTTCATGTACCTGAACTGGCACTGGCCTATTGTGATCGGGTTTATGAGTCTGTTGTTCATCAACCGCTGGTAAAATCTTCTGGCAATATATACCTCACACTTTTACAGATTTATCTGAATCCTCAAAAAACAACAAAGAACTTTGAAAAGAGGATTACAAATTTGGTATCATCCCCAAAAGCAAGCATCCCAAAGGTTGGTTCAGCAGCTTCATTTAAAGCTAGAGGACGTAAGAAAATTGCCTCAATAGAAGGTACTGAGGATATGCATATTAGTCCCAGCAATACTGATAGCAGCAGGAGTGACGGTGATGCTGAAGAATCTAATGAGGAAGGAGCTTCTCCTATCATGCTTGATCAGGTACTTGATCTTTTGAGTCGAAGGTGGGATAGAATCAATGGAGCTCAGGCACTCAAACTCTTACCAAGAGAGACTAAGTTACAGGTATTTCCTAAAATCTTGAATTGCTTACAAAGCTCGTGAACCATTTGCATCTGGATGTAAATAGTCATTGATATCTAAATTGTTAGATTTCCTTTTGGGCGTCAGATTATCAATTATAAGCTCTTTCTTTAAGGTATTTGTCTTCCACCTGCAGAACTTGCTTCCATTTCTGGGACCTCTTCTAAAAAAATCCAGTGAATCATACAGGAACTTCTCTGTTATCAAGAGCCTGAGGCAGAGTGAGAACCTACAGGTATGTAAATTGTTTTATTTAATCAAAGCTAGGCAGGTTAAGCATGTTAAATGACTTATTGCATGAGATTTTTCTGGTAGCATATGTATATATATCTTCATAAAAATGGTGGCCTCCTTAAAATTATTGTTGTGGGTTTTCTTGCAAGCATCTATCTGAAATCATATTTGTAACAGGTTAAACAAGAACTTTACAGCCAAAGAAAAGCTGTGGTGACGATCTCGAGTGACAGTATTTGCTGTCTCTGCAGCAAGAAAATAGGAAGAACCGTATTTGCGGTCTATCCTAATGGGAAAACACTAGTCCACTTTGTTTGCTTCAGAGATTCGCAAAGCATGAATGCAGTAGCCAAGGGCTCACCACTAAGGAAGCGATGAAGATGATGAGAAGATGGAACTTAAGTGCCCAGAATCAAAAGCTCTGAAACAGTTTTGGAGGTATTTATTTATTGTAGTCTTACCTTGCGAATGCTGCGCTTTTCACATAATTCGGGGCCAATGATGCAGCTGCGAAGTTGAAAGCAGTGCTTCAATGGTGACACGGCCATAGGAATGGGAGTTTGGCTGTTATAATGTTATTTGATTGAGAATCATCAATCACCTAAATCAGTTTGAGTATTTGTATCCGGTTAGATTGGTGTAAAATTGCGGTTCATTATATTTCAATTTTATTGGTCTCACCCAGTTTCAGTTATAACTGTTAGAGTAGGGATGATAATGTTTGGAATCAAATTTTATTTGATTTTTTAAAATAATGTATAATATTATGAATTTTTAAATTTTAATTTTAATTTTTAAAAAGTTGATTCAATATAAATTAAATTTTATCGATTTTTAAATTTTAATATTTTTTTATATTATTTAATAAAGTTTTTAATATATTTAAATAAATTTATATATAAAATAATTATTTTTATTTCATAAAAATTAATAAAAATTTATAATTCGATTTTTTTTAATTTTTATATTTTAATTCAAAATTTAATCTGAATTTAATATAATTCAAAATGAAAAAAAAAAGAAAAAAGAATCAACCAAACATTACAATTTTTCAGTTTTTTCAATTTTTTTTCTCCTCCCAACGTCGGGAGCATGAGCAACGAAATCTCTGATACTGACAAATCTACTAACTTTTTAATTAAAAGCTGGAATAGGTCACGAAAAAAAAATCAAATTCCCGCCCAATAACCTCCACGTCATCATCACTCAATGAGCCACGTTGACGAACCCATCTTTTTGACACGTGTGGCGAGTCTGCCACCCGGTTGTAATTGGTACTTTGCTTTCTCCGTTATTTTATTATGTTCCTAAGTTAACCCCTTTGGTATTATTTTACTTTGATTTCTAGTTGACTGATGGAGGACAATTTTGTCCATTTTCAAATTTCAGGACATTATATCTATATATATATATATATTCGCGGTTGTGAAACGTTTTAATTGATCCAAAATTCTGTTTGGCTAGAGAGAGGAGCGAAGATGATAAAAGCTGTGATGGTGATGAACACTCAAGGCAAGCCTCGCCTTGCAAAATTTTGCGAATATCTGGTAAAATTTCTCTTTCTCTTTTCGACATTTTTACTCTTATTTGATCAGTTTCTTTTTAAAATGAAGATCGCGATCTTAGTAACAAATTCAAATTCCTTTGCAATAATCGACGTCACTTTGAATTTCGTTGAAATCAGCCAGTGGAGAAGCAGCAGGAGCTTATACGCAGCGTTTTTGCAGGTTCCGATCTCTCTCCTACTTCTTCTTCGTACTTTAGCTGTGATTAATTTGAATTTGCCCTGTTTGGATCGCATGAACCTTGCATTTTATGCAATCTCGTTGATTATTCGACCTAATTGATCGATCTTGAGTTCGTACTTAGAGTTTATTTCTTATTTATCTTTTTTTTTTTTTTTTGCTTTCATTTTTGAGTTTGATCTTTTAACGGTCTTGTGCAGTAGAGTTGAGAACATAAGCAATTTCATAGAGGCGGAAGCAATTTTTGGTCCGGTAATTTCTTTGATTTTCTATTTTTCTTGATTACTAATTTAAATTTTTATTTCTTTTTCATTTTAGGTTAGAAACCGATTAATTTTCGTAACTTTCTCCTCTTGATTTAAACTTGTTGTTCGAATCTTGTTAATAACTTCCATAATTTTCTTTTACCTCTGCTTGTTGTAGAACTCTGTTTAATTGTTTTTGAATTCTTCTTGCAGGATAGTCGCCTTGTGTACAAGCATTTTACTACTCTTTACTTTGTCTTTTTATTTGATAGTTCTGAAAATGAAGTAGCCATGCTTGACTTGATACAAGGTATTCGTCTAATTTTTCTTTTAGAGTTACCTATAATGGAGTAATCTATCTATGAAATGTTGTTCTTCTATGTTATAGTCATTTCAAACTCAAGATTTCAATTTACTCATACTTGGAGATTTCTGAATACTTATTCTTGCATTATATGAAAAACATTAGATAATTCTGAGTAGAGCCATTTTCATGGTCTGTGTAATGATTTGAAGTTGAATTGACTTCACATTCACCTTTTTATAAAATAGATCTTCTTGTTTGACCATTTAATGAAAAGAAGAAAACAAAATTGATTTTCATGTGCACTGGAATCAATGATCACTTATTTTGTGTCATCATTATTTTGTGCCATCCATCTTAGTTGAGTTTACATCAGGTGTCTTTTAAGTGGAAAGGTTTGATTGCATATTCCAGATTTTAACTTGTATATAACCATTTTTTTTATACCGGCGTTGTTAGCAATTGTTGTTATTAAACTGTAATATTCAGTGAATTCTTGGCTCTCAAATTGCATGTTCACTGATGAGAACAATGTACTGGGTTTGTCATGCATTTCCTTTCCAAACTAGAAAGCTGAATGTAACAATGATTGCTGATATTTATTTCAAATCTTGGATAATTTTACTTACTTTAGATGTGCTGCCTTCAGTATTTGTGGAGACCTTGGACAAATGCTTCAAGAATGTTTGTGAGCTTGACATTGTTTTCAATTACAGCAAGGTTGTATAATATCCTCTTATCACTTATATCTGCATCTATTTAGTGGCAGGGAAAGTAAGGTTCTACAAATAAATAAGATAAAGTGTCTTTACTTGGGAATAATAGAAATAAAGTGTGGTTTTATCTATAGTTTTTGTTCTTTTGAGTTCAAGCGGATAGAACCTGCACCAATCTTATAGAGTACAAGGTTGATGGAGAACATATATGGGGTATACTTCAGGATCTAACATTACTTGATGGCAGGGAAAGCCTTCTTATGGTGCTTGGGGTTTCCCTTGCAATTGAGGGTGTCTTGAGTTACTTTGGAAGTTAGCTTTGCACAAGTTCTTTAGTATCTTAACTTGATAGTCTATATTGTTGACGTCGTAGTCAATCCTTTAGCTGCTGGCAAAGCTGAACGTTAGTGCCTTTATTTCCTGCTAGCCAAGGACTGCCTTTGGAATATGCTAAATAATCACTTCTTATGACATCATTATAATGCACTAGTTGTACACTCAAAACTGATTTAAAGTCAGTTGAACGCTTTCTTGCTGCAATATTCTGATTTAAATGTACCATATTTCTATCAATAGGCTTCTGTGTCAGAATTGGGACCTAATCGAGCATATGTTTGATTAATTTTGTCAGTTTTCCCATGTTTCACTGTTGTTTTGTTGCTTGGTAGTTTGAGTCTTTGACTCTATGTAGAAGGATTTCCTGCTCTTTTTGGATGAATAAAAGCTCATTCATCCAAAATAAATAAATTTATCATATAATTGCTTTTGTTTGGTTATATTCTGTTCCTCACCAATATGGACCAAAATATCTTCATTTTATTCAAATATTCAATAACCCTTTGCCGATACACACCATACTGGATGAGATAATTTTTGGAGGGCTAGTGCTGGAAACGAGTTCAACGGAAGTTATGAAGGCAGTTGAAGAGATATCTAAGTTCTCTCTCTCTCTCTCTCTCTGTGAAAAGCATGTACAAGCATGCATGTGAGTTTTTCCTCCTTTGCATTGTATTTAATACTTATTAACAGATAAGCATTAACCATGATGTAGGTTAGAAGCTGCCTCAAATGCCATCACAGTCATTCCGAAGTCTGCTTTTGGTTGGCGAAGTAGGTAGTTCTACATTTAAATGCTTGTTAAATCTGTCCCTGAATTATTTCTTGTCACTTTGAGTTGATAACTTACTATTTTAACTAACGTGATCCGGTGGTCAAGGGTTGTACGTTGGTGCAATGCTCGAGTGAAGAGATTTCGTTTTCATATTAGCCCACACAATCAAGAGCTTTAAATACATGTAACAAGGTGCTTTACATAGCACATGCTCACACCATTGAGTATTGATCCTGATTTTTGCAATTCCTTTATGCCTTTACTCTCAGACCTCAAGTTAGGGTTTTGTAGACCTGTAGGCCTCGTAATTCGTATCATTTTCATGTAAAATACTATATTCATGTCATATTTTACATGAAAATCGCATGTCAAAGTTCGTGTCAACGTGAAAACCTAAAATATAATTTTTTTATTTTATTAAACGTATTTATGATTTTTGAAAAATTTTAAATTATGTTATTTTTATATCCTTTGTTCGTATAGTGTTACCATGTCGTATTTCAAATTAATTTAGGGTTTTGTAACTTGCTGGAGCAGTGATTCCTGCTGCTATATTTTTTTTTCAAAATTTTTTTGGCTTTTTGCTTTTGAAATGAAGCAGGGGTCAGCTGCACGTCACAATACAGCTTAATGATAGAATCATGCATGGCATTGGTATCATTTTTTTTTTAAATAAGAAAATAAAAGAAAATTTCCTAAATTAATAATTCTGTCTCTAACATTAAGCTATTACTATATTTTTATTTGACTTTATGTTTAGTATTGATAATATTCAATTACATACATTTTTAACCTCTTTATAATTTTATAGTTGAATTTAATTTAATATATTCTTTTATCATAAGATATTTGATACTTATGACCCTACATTCAATACGTAATTATATTTATGATCTAAAATTTAATTAAATAATAAATAATAAATTATGAAAATTATATTAAATAGTTATGAAATTTTAAACTATTTTAATATTTAATAATATATTAGGATAATTGTATAATAATATATTTTAATATATTTTGCAGACTTCTATTTTTATTCAATACTTATGTATGTTATTAAATTTTATTATAATGAAATTTCAATTATTTCAATACATTTAATAGCTATACATTAAATAATTAATTGTTAAAATTAATAAATAAAAATAAAATATTTAATATTATTTCTTAATTAAATGAATTTTATAATATAATTATTTTTTATTACTGATTAACTATTAATTAATATAAAATGAAAATAAAAGTATTCTAATTTATACTAAAACCAGAACTGTTTGAATTATTATTAATTCATTTCTTTAAAACATTAATTTATTGTTTAAATATCTTAATGAATGTTTATAATTATAAAATACTAATAATAAAATTAGTTATAATCTAATAATAATATAAATTGTAATTATTAATCTAGAAAAATGATATTATAAATAATATTATTTAATAGGTATTTTTAAAATACAATTATTAATTGTAATAATAACTGATAAATTATAAATATATTTATGTATTTATTAATTATAATTTAATAATAATTGACAAATTGTAAATATATTTATGTATTTATTAATTATAATTTAATAATAATTGATAAATTGTAAACATATTTATGTATTTATTTTTAATTATTAATATTTATTATAACTAATAAGTATTATAATTAATTGTATCAGTAATTATTAAATTAATTATTAAATTTAATAATTAATAATTGTTAATATAATTCTATAATTAATAATTAATATTAAAATTACTATAAAAATTATTATAATTAAATATTATTGCCATTTTGTTAATCAAATCTGTGTTTTAATTATTTTAATTGTAATAAATAAAATAAAATAATTATAACTAATGAGTATAATAAATGATTACTTAAAACTCATTGACTTTGATTAATAAATATAGCAACAATATTTAATTAGAATCATTTTTATAGTAATTTTAATATATAATATTATATTTTTTGAAAATATTTATGATTTTAATATCAAAAGATACAAATATTTTATTATATAATTAAATAGTTAGTTTTAATAATTGCATATAGAAAAATAATTTTGTTTGAATTTTAAAATGTTAGATTAGATTCATGATAAATAATAATCCGACCTGCATCCACAAATTTGGATAAATTTAAACATTCATTCTTGTAAGGAAAAACAAAAATAGTAATTAGATTTACCACCTTTTAAAGGTCGCATGAGAAAAAGAGAACCCAATCCCATAGCACCATGAAAGATATTTCCTCCTAATAACCAATGAAAGTGGCTTAAATTCAATGCTTTCCAGCTTCAGGATAAAACAAACAAATAAGCAAACGAGGATTTTCGTATTGACATTCAGCAAATTAAATTCAATGCTAAGCCTTTGATCAAAGAAAAAAATTTGGTTTGGGGAGGGAGGGAGGGATCTGGGAATGGAATTTTATGAAAAAAAGTAAATTGTCTACAGCATTCGTAAGAAAAAATAGCAAGATGTGCTTGAAAGGGAGTCATGAATTACAGACGGTTTAAAATATCCAAAAACTGTATAAAAAAAACAACACGATACGGAAGAATATATACAAAAGCAACAAGATTTAAAATTTTAATAAAAATTATGAATTTGATAAAAATCAAAAAATATATTTTACATTTGGTAAGTGATATATGAAATAAACATTGTACGAATACATGAATTGTTAGAGCTACTTAGAAATAAAATCAGCATCCGATTAGCAGGTTTTATCAGATTAAAGCACAGAATTATGGATACAAAGTACCTGTCAAGCCAATTTGCCTTTCAAGGTCAGGAGGAGTTAGTATGTCATAGCCAACGATAGATGAGCTGAACTCTGGAGCATATTCATCAATCAAGTAGAAACATCTTTGTGTAAATATGACTCCTACAATATGAACATTATTATGAGGGAATGGTCAGCAATGGGGCAATGATACCTGCACTGAAGTGTTGTCCAACAATAGCAGCTAAATACCTCAATGATTTACACGCTAACTAAGCTTGGAAGAGACTTGGATAAAGTTCTACTCACCCTGTAAGCACGATCATCTCAGATGCCATTCGATGGTATTGGATGAACAAGTTAATGACATGTTTACCTACGAAAACAGGCAATCTGAAAGCAAAACAAAACATAGTGCATAAACCCTGAATGGTTATCATGCAAATTGACTTCAACAGGCAAGTTTTAGTACCCTTCAACAGCTAGTCAGGTTAATCTTCTGAGAACAATTTGCTTCAAGGGAATATGTCATCAGATATGTTAATGAGAGAGAAAAGTAACCAAACACTATCAAATCAAATCTTGAAGATAGTATATTTCTAAGACTTCACCATGATTTGCAGACATTTGACAGTTTACATAGATTGCCAATGCAATTGCGCGATATTTGTTAGCTTCCAAGTTGACTTATGTATAAGACAAATCTTATGTTTTCTTCAAGATATAATTCTTATACCATAATGGAAAATAGCCCCTTTCAACCGGGACTATCGGCAAACTAGCACAACTAACATTACGCAAAAGAGTGATAGTGGTCCAATGTAAAAATCATTAGTTCAAAATATATAATACAGAGAGAAGTAGCAGACGAGAATGCTTCCGGCATGCAGATCGTAGACAGTATAAAGGAATAATTCTTCCTCTAACTTAATTCCAAAGTACACTCTCAGTTCTTCGAGAAGAAAAATATCATCAAAGCACAGAATGAAAAATAAAAAGATATATAGAAAGAGAAGAAAAAGAAAAGGATCCAACAATATGCATATACGAAGATACCAAAATTGGGTTCAAGGTGGAAAAATTGTCTTGTCCAGCAAGGATAGAATTTTTATTTCAGTCTTCTTGCTGGTAATCCCTTGACTGCATCTTGACAGTTGAATTAATCTCGTTCATTCTAAAAAAAAAAAGAAAGGGCAGCAGAGCAGATAAAAGTAGGCATAGGATATCTTTAAGAGTTAGTGACAATAACCAGATCATTTTGGAGTTCCAGTTTGAGAGTGACTAATAGATGCACATTATCAGACAATACATATAAATCTAATGATGATAGATAATGAATTGTACCTGATCATCTAGGCTTTTGAGATGGAATAGCAAGTTAGATTATGATGGCAAGTAATAAAGTTAATGCTATTATCACCACTCCTTTGATATTGGCATCTCTATCTGCAATAGATGATCTGACTCCTTTTGTTTTGTGTTAAATAGATTATTATCCTGTGTCTTTCCTTTTTCCACTAGATCCAGTGTTCTGTTTCCTCAAATTCTGTTCTTGTGGTCTACTAACTTACTCAGACTGATCATACAAGCCAAGATTATAGGAAAACTAATTAAATATGCATATGCATCGATGCCCAAACTGGTAAGATCTAAACTCTAAACCCACAATTTTTGCTAATAGAGTAAAACTATAAAAACATGAATCTCACTCAAACCTCCAAATCAGTAACCTGTTGTCCCCCGGATGAACCATAAAACGAGTCCAAAAGGCTGAGCTGCGTGCTTTATTCTTGAAACGATCTTGGAGAGATGAAATACCTTGCAAAGATTCAGGAAGCAGCGAATCCAAACGTGGATCCATCAGTTTACAGAACCTCTCTAACTGATTCTCATATCTATGAAATTAAAAAAAAAAAAATAGTAATCTGTTACAGTTCAAATTTATCTCCAATTCATAATAATCTTGTTTTCATACAAGAAATGATAACATGATTCACACACATAAATACATGCATGCATAAGACATACATAAACACATATTCCTACATACATGATACATACATATAACCAGAGAATTCAAATTTTAAAAGAAAATCAATCCAATTAAAAGGACATTAAAATCGATAAGTACGTTGGATAAGCATCGGCATCTCGCTTGGAGAACTTGGAGATGTCAGAATGATTAAGCTCTTTATCAGGCCCTAACAAAAGATATCTTCCATCCAAACAAGGCGTAAACGACGATGGATTCCTCTTCAACAACTTCAATCCATGTCTCGCTAACTCTAGTTCTCTGAAAAACTCAAATAAGCAATAAGAAGATCGACTCATTAACTCTGAAAAATCAAAAAATAGTTCAAATATTAAATAAAGTAGTAGTATAAGATGGAAAACGTGCTTTGAGAACCTGATAACGGAGGGACGGAGGAGGCTCTGGAGGTAACTGCATCGAGAGAACTTGAAACCAGGGATCAGTTCCTTGGCCACTGCTGCTCCTCCGATGACGTGGAGTCGCTCGAGCACGAGCACAGAGAGTCCACCGCGAGACAAGTAAGCCGCCGCTGTCAAGCTCCGATCACAAGCGCGTCCCACTTCTTCTCCTTCAGCTCGTGACTGCCGATGCCGGACCTCCTTTGCCACATTGCTCTGAACTTTGAAGTGAGCTTGTTTCTGCTAATTGATTGGGAGCCAAAAGGAGCGAGAGAGAGTTTGAAATTTGTATTGAAAAATGAGAGCAGAGCTGAAGCAAATGTTGGTTTGGTAGCGTTTTTAAGTTTTTGGCGAGATGAGTACAGGGAGGATTATGGTGGGACCCAGCTAAGGGAATCCAGCCAAAGGAATCCACGTCGGTTGAAAATTGAAATTCCTGCCTCCACGACTAACAAAGTTTTAGACACTAATTTCAGTTAAGGATGACAATGGATATAATCGGATATTTAATTTAAATAATTATAAAAGAATAATTAATGAATTTAGATAAAAAATTTATTATTTGTGATAGATTCACAAATAGTATTCATTACATATTTAATATTTAAATTTATTTAAATTTTAATAAATATTAATGAATATTTAAATCTAAATCTATTATCTTTTTACATATATAAAATATATAAAATTTTATGCTTGTAATAAATTTTGGACTTTAAAATAATTTTTATTTATTATTAATTAAAATTGAAATTAAATTTTAAATTAAATTTTTATTTATTTTATATTTTAATAAAATTTAAATAAATAGATATTTTAATTGATTAAAATATTTAAACAAATAATATTTATTTAAATGAATTTAAGTTTGGATAATAATATTAAACTTAAATAAATATTTAAATTAATTTTAATATTATAAATATTAAATAAATTCAAATATAAATATCTTAAAAATAATAAATATCCATTCCATTATTATTCCTAATATTTATTTAGGATAGCTGACATGTCTGTTCAGTCATTGAAAAACATATTTGCAGGTTAGTGGAGCATCTTTAAATAAAAATTTTATTAATTTTATTTTATACTAAAATCATAAAAATGACGATAAAAATACAATAACTTTTTGGTACGCAGAGGCGGCAATAGCTTGGGAGATAATTGAGTGAGCTATTAGGTTTTTTAAAGGTTTGGGGCTTTACTTAGGACTAAATTAATCCAAAGTATTTATCAATGTATATTGGTTTAAGTAGTTAAGAAGTTTGATTTTTAAAAATGAGATTTCAGTTTTTAATTTTATAAATAAAAAAATAAATATTAAGAAAATTTATTATTTTTATAAAATTTGATTTAATTTAATTTAAAATTAATTAAATTTAAAATAATTATCAAATATCGAAAGATTTTAAATAAAAAAAATATGCAATACTTCAATAGATAATTAAAAATACATAATACGATTAAAATAAAACATGATAGATGAAAATGGTAAAGAATATAATACAAATATTCATTTAAATACTTCCATGAACCCTAATGTTTTGGAAGCTACTCCAACTCATTTAAACAGTGATTAAAAATTGAATTTAATATTCGAATTCTACTTGAACTCAATAAATTGTATTGGCTAATTATTCCAACATGTTATTATTAATTGTCATCCCGATATGTTTAACTTACCTAAAGCTAATACTAAAATAAATTAAATACAAATATAAAAAATATTTTAAATATTAATTATAAATTTAATTAATAACACATTTATCACCTTTACATAAAATAAATAAAATTCTCACTTTTTTTTTTTAAGTAATGGAGGGGATGATTTCCCGATTTTATATAAGATACTCAAACCCTATATAATCGAGTCAAATAGGGTCGGGCGTCCAGTTACCCACCTCACATTGCCCATCCTTTGAAATAGAGCCCTAGCTCAAGCTAACTCAGGAATTTGGACCATATAGGCTGAGTCATGTAAGCCCATCAAAGGTTTGGGTTTTCTTTGGGACCAACATAAGCCTTCAACAATAATTTAAGTGTTTTTTATTTCAAAGCAATTCAAGTTCTCAAATTGCAGATAAAAAACCCTAGTTTTGTCTTTGATCAATAACAAACCTACTAAAAATTTGTTGAGATTTGTAGTATATTATTTTTGTAAAATATTATATAAACTAAAAATATATATCCATACATGAATCCAAAATTTAACCAAGTTAGTTTTATATAACCATTTTAAAAATGTGATATCAAGAATATTTGAGATCAAATCTTACAAAAAACGTCATCGAATTTTAAAGTAGTATGATTTAAATAAAAAATTTTACCCAATTTAACATGTTTAGCATTTTTTTTTTTTATAATAACAAAATCACTATAACTCACTTTATTGAGTTTGCTACCGTAGAACTCAAGAGTTATATCTATGTGTTCAACATTATACCTCAATTATATCCTTATAAAAAGATCATTCGCTCTATTAATTCCGTCTCCATCTATCAAAACAATCGCAAATGTTTAAGGGAAAAAAAAAAAGACATACGACGTACAAAAAGTTCAAGCATTCAAAATTTTTTTGTCCTTAAGTTACGGTTTATTAGCCAAAAAAATTTATATATACATACACGCATATATATATATATATGATTTTTTTAACTTAATAAAAGAAATCATTTTTTATTCTTTTATTTTCAAAAGTCATTACAAAATAATAATGTATACATACGTGTATATAATATGTTGTTCATTATTCTTAATTACTTGTACTGTAGAAGGTAAGGCCATAAAGAGCAGGAAAATTTAAGCTTTTGAACAGCTCCAAATTTAGTTATCCTAGGCACATCTCTCGAATCCCAGGATTCAGGAACTAGGTGTTCCCTTGACCAACTGCCATAAAACTGTCACTGTTTATATATTATTGTTGATAATTAATGGTATTGTTCTTTTAACATGCTTGCTGCCATGTTGAAACAGCAGGAAAGTAGCTTCCAATTGACAAGTTTTCTTAGCGTCAAAAAGATGTCCAGAAGAATACTGCAGGCCAGCACCAGAAAAGACTCTGACTGATTCCAAAGCTTCATTCTTCGATTCCAGACTCTTTTTCTGACAACAATTATAACTTTCTTCATACGGGTTTTGATTGGAGTTGGGTTTTGATCATGAGTGGAAAAAGCCTTTCAAAGATCCTGAAACTGTGGGTTTTCTGATATGGAGATCATTTCATTTCTGGCTAGGATTTTGAAATACCCATATTGCATGAACATTTTTTATTTGTGTTTCCCAACAGATACATAAAAAGGAAGGTTCAGCTTTGCCCTGAATTCAGGGACGGATTTACATATGAAATCGTGAGGCAGTTGTTCCATTGAAATACTAATATTTTTTAGATTTATTATAAAAAAATCTTATAAATTTTAGAAATTTTAAGTTTTACCCCATTAAATTTTTTTTATCATATTAGCTCCCATTGAATTAAGGATCATATTTGCTTTCATACTTTGGGTGATAAGCAATTTTTTTTATAATATACATTAATTTAAAAAAAATAAATAAATAAAGATTTTTTAGAGTTCATATAAATAACTTATAAAGTATGAATTAATCAAAATAAAAAATAAAAATGATCTTTAATTAACATAAATTTATGTCTTAATTTATGTTTTTATTATATATAAAAAATATTGTTTTCATTATATATGAAAAAAAAGTATTTGTTATTCTTCATATTATAATGAATAAAAATAAAAGTAAATAATAAAATTGAAATTTTTATTTTTAATTTTCACATATTATATCTATATTTACCAATTTTATAAATAAAATTTTATTAAATAAATATATATACATATTTATATATATATACGTGTATCAAAAAATGATTTATCTATGATATAATAATATTTAGAGTACATTCTTCAATAATCATGTAATTAATTTTAGCTATGCAAATATTACATCTATCATAAAAAATTGTATTTTAAAGAAAAAATTATTATATATGTTAATTTATTTACAATTTTTTATATTAATTTGTTTTTCAAAAAAAAATTTGAGTTAAAATACTTGACTTCGCTGATAAAAATTCAAACTGGGAATGTGATATGATGAGCAATTGTCATAAACAATTTCTTATGCTTATGTCTTTTAAAAAAAAAAAGAGTCTGACGTTTGTCACGCTTTACGTTGCCAAAATCAGGAGGACAAGGGCCAAGGTGGAAGTTGTGATTTACACAACTTAAAATTGCAAAGCTTTCTGCCAGCTGATCATGAACTTTTCTTTGCCAGGGAAATAAAGATGCAGCAGACAAGATATTGGAAAAGACCAGTCAAATATATCGAAAACTGAAATTTTTTTTTTTGTCAAAAAGAAAATTAAAAATAAAGGAAGTTACTATCTTCAAAATAAAAAAAAGGACAAATCATAGATTAAAACTAGTATTATAAAAGTTGGTGGAAGGAAAAGGAAGGGAGAATGCCCATATCTTCAGCTTAAAGCATTAAAATATAAATGTTTTAGATTGTGAAAATCTGTTTAATTGAAGGGGAAAAGGTTGTATATAGAAGATTCAAAGTATTTAAAGAAAAAAGAAGAAATGGATGGATAAAAAGAGTGGTTTACGTAAAGAACATGCATACAATGAGTCAAGGGAGACTAGAACGAGCAGCCATGATACCTATCCCCAATCTGAGGCATTCATCATTTCTTTTTTCTCTTTTTTTGATTAAACGTCAAATATATATATATATATTTATAATGTACTTCAGTTGCCCAGTGGGGCATCTAAATTCTAAGGATTTACACTAATAAGACAGTTAAAGGAGAAAGGAACGAAGTTTGAATGTAACTTTTAGATTACAGGCAGGGCTACAGTCTTTTAGACTGCCCTGGAGGAGACAATTGGAGGTTACAGTGTCCCTTAGATGTCATGATACTGACATCAACTTATCTTTCTTAGGAAGGCTTATTAGGGGGTTTTTCCTTCCTTTTTTTTTCTACAGACAAACACTCCTTTTCTAAATGTTGGTCCATTGGGTTGGGTCCTCATTTTTTTTTTTTTTTTTGTTTTAAACTTACCTTTTTCTTTTCTTATACTTAATTCTAAATCTAATAATTTAAAATATAATATGAATATAATATAAATAAAAATATAAAAAATAATAATGATTTAAAATTTTAATAATTATTATATATAAATTTAATAAAATAAAAAATATATTTTTATATTTTTATATTAATATAAAATATGATATAAATATATAAATTTTAATATTTTATATGATACAAAATATATGAATCATTAGATTTAATTTCTTGATTTTCACTTAAAATTAATTATTACTTTTAAAATCTTACCTAGCAAAGAAACAACAAAATCACTAGACCAATGCCAACCCCTCCAATCCCCTTTCCTTTTTTAATTTCATTTAAAAAAAAAAAAAATCCCAATCTCCCTAGAAACATTCCAGACCAGTTGTATTCTCGTTGCTTTTGAGGAATGTTATAAATTTATGCGGTAGTGTTCCAAAGCCCTCTAGTAATTTAAAAGGCTTGCTGTAAGTAAAAGACTGAAGCACTCCATCCTTTGTTTAATTCATTTGCATGCATGGCATTGGCATGCAAAAGCCAAATCCAAATATTAAATATAAATAAATAAATCCACCTTCACTATATCTATGTGGCACTTTGAGAAATTATTAAAGAATTAGTGATATTAATTAATTTACAAAAAAATTATCAAATAGATTAAAATTTGAGTTTTTAAATTTTATAAACAAAATAAAAATAATGACATATATTTTTAATATATATTTAAAAAAATTATCATCTTAACCTCTTTTATGAAATTAAAAAATTATTTTATTAGTTTATTAAAAAATTTTAATTAATTTATTAACAATTCATTTAGTACCACAAGAGAGTTTCCTCAACTGCATTTTATTTTTATTTTCCCAAAAGTTTAGTAGTAAAATAACATCTCTGTAATATAAATCTTTTTCATCATGCTGCTGAATCAACCTTATTTGATTTCCTTTTGTATGATAATACAATCTTATATGATTTCCTTGATTATATTTGAAAAAACCCTAATCCTAAACCATTGGACCCCACTAAATCCAACGAGCCCAAAAAATCATGATTAATGAGCATGTAAATAAATGCGTATCTAAACCTCAATCATTTTATGTGGTTTGAGATGATTAAGCAAATCCCAGAGTTTCCATTAAAAAGAGTATAACAGATCGTCATTAATTACTGGAATTTATAGGCATTTGAGCAGAGTCTTAATCTACTCAATTCTTACCCCACTCTCCTCTCTACTGCGTGTTTTCACGTTTACATTAAAATTGAGATAATGCTCAATTTGACCCTTAATTTATTGTAATTTTTTAATATGATAAATAACGAATTTTTAATTAGATATTTAAATTATAATTTCTTATATTAAGTTACCTCAATCTTTAATATCATTAAAGTAATGTTGATGTGATGATATTTAAATACTGATATTAATAAACGTGATTATTACGTAATTTAAATATAATTATCACGTATTATTTTTAAAAATTAAAATATCTTAACTTATAAAATTTAAAATTTTTAATTTAAACATTGTATTAAAAAAATTACAATATTTTAGAGGCCATGCCGAGCATTATCCCGATTAAAATTAATACCGCCCTGAAATTGTGGGTCGCGTGGCGGAAAAAAAAATGATTGCAAATGGAAAAAAAAAATGCAACGCTTAGGGTCTTGGGCTAATCGCAGGTTTTCTGTTTCGTGGTTTACAAAGTGGAAATATGAGAGGAGCATCTTTTGGAAAGCGGTGGTCGTCCCATTTGTCGAACTAAGGCCTCACCAATCTCTAGGCTATCGGATCTTGTCTCTCGTTCTCTCTCTTCATGTTTTTTGAATCTTTTGATCATATTCTTCACAAGAGTTGATTGGTTTTTTAGTCTGGGTTTAGCCATGATGCATGTCGGGTCATATCTTCTTTTTTTTTTTTTTTTTTTTTCACATTTTTTACATTTTTCTTTTTTAGTTTCCACCATGGACTCAAAGATCTTCTCTCCTGGTAAGCCAATTAGAATAAGTTGCTTTTTGCTTTGATGATTGCCGAGCATCTCATTATACCTTTTATTTTGTGTTTTTTTCTTTGCTTCATGTTTCCCTTTAGCTTTCTTTTTAATGTTCGTATCTTCTACTAGTATTACTACAACAGCTAGAAACCAAATTGCTTTTTGGGCAGTGCTGACGAGTTCGGGATACGGAACATGAGGAAATTATCATGACGAAATTGGCTTTGTTTTTGCCCTTTGGGGGAGGTTCACGTGACTCCAGTGTACGGATACTGATTGTGGTAAGCTTGAAACTGGTTGTTTTGGTTTGGTGCGAGGGGAGGGACGGCGGGAGCCCATATTATTCGGGATGAGAAAAAATATAAAATTACTTTAAAATTATAATATTTTGTTTAATTTGAATCTATTTTTTATTTTATTTGTATTAAATATTTATATTAAATTCAATTAAAACGTAAAAATAAAAAAATTTAAATCGAATCTAATTATATAATTTTATTAATTTTTATGTATATTTAAATTTTTATAAATAAAATAATTATTTTATATATAAATTTATTTTAAATATATTAAAATAATATATAAAAATAAAAAAAATTAAATCCAACAAATAAAATAATTTTTAAAAAATAAATACTTTGAATCAAATTTTAAAAATAAATACTATTATATATTATAAACGAAATTAAATCCGATCCGACATCCCAATTACGTATTATTGTGGATTGTAAGATTGACGGATTGAACTGCCTATAACAACTAACGTAGTGGTCATTGCTCTGTTGAATGGACTTATCTCACTCACACATAAAACTCAAATTTTGCTTCCTTTCTCTCCCGCGGGCAAAAGCAGTGCGTGGCAACTGCCACCCTTAACTCCAAAGAATTTGAATCTAAATTAAGCGATCCGATCAGTAAGACATAAAACCTTTCAAATGTCACAAACCAACAAAAATTTAACTATTGTTAACTGATCAATGTTTTTGTGAATTACAAAATATGTGTCTATACACGACATCTCCATCAAGATTATTTATTCATTATCATATACTTTTTCTATTACCCAAGTTGGAAAAGAACAATTTAAACTTCAAACATCCTCTTTTTTTTTTCTTGCAAAGTAGAAAAAAAAAAAATACCTTATTTGATTTTTGAATTATTATAATTTTTCTAATGCAGTAATTAAATTAAAAATTTTTTAATTCAATATTTAAACTTTATTTATATGTATTAAATTATTTTAATATTTTTAAAATATTATTAATGTGACATTTAAATGTTATTGTGAATGATAAGTAATTATTATGTAATAATAATGTGATTGTCACGTGTCATTTATGTTAATGTTAAAATATTATTTTAATATTATTTTAAAATGTTCAAAGTTTAAATAATTTATTACATGAAAATAAATTTTAAATATTATATTAAAATTTTTTATTTAAATACCACATTAAAAATATATAATAATTTAGGGAGCGAATGGATATTATCCCAAAAGAAAACTATGCTTGAAACAATTTGAAGATCACCTTCTTGTCTGTGTGTATATGTTGGGACCACGAGAGAGCGTAACCTGAGAATGAATAATACATACGCCTTTAGGGGCAGATGGGAATGGTGATTGGAGCGTCGAAGAAAGATGCGGAGGGCGGGAGCGTGGAAAAGGGAAGGGAAACTATTCCATTTTCCTTGGGAGGCTGGCAGTGACAGAGCAGAGAGGGCAGAGATACGGATACGGACAGAGGTTTTGATGTGTTGGGTTTGAGACTAAAGGGGCCTCGTGATCGGAGAAGGCAGATCCATGGAAGACTGTTCCCGCTAGTCACGTGGGCTCTTTTGACTGCCCAGTGACCAATCCATCTCCCTCCTTGCATTGTTATGAGCGCTCCCTTTTTCCATTCACCCCTTCTTTTGGAGGATAAATTCAATTGCCCGCAACCATTTTCTATTAGTATACAAAAAAAAAAAAGTTCCAACATTGCAAGTTACATATAGTAGCCTTATTTCTCAGTCATTTTTTTCTCTACAGTTCACCCTGACCGACTCTCTGACTGGCCGACTTATTTTCTTCCTCTTAGTTATATAAGAGTAAGAGTGTAGGGTTTAGCTACATATTTTTTTTGTTTGATTTTTTAAAGTGTTATCGCTCTCTATCTGTGTAACATGCAACCTGGGTCCCTCTCTGTCTATATCTTTATTTTTCTCTTGCTATGTACGCATGTACATCTCTCCATTTGCATTTGACGACAACGTGGACTGCAGGTGCTGACTGGTATTTCGCCATTTTGTTAGCTTATAAAGCTACCAGACAACAACTCTTCTCAGTCCCTCTCTCGTATCATTCACCTCTCTCTCCGTCTTTCAAGTTTTTATTGAAACACTATATTATTGCACTTCGCTCTCAGTTTACTATTTGGCTTGTATTCCCTGCCATTACCCTTTAACTATAAACTCACCATCTCATCTCTTTTTCAATTGCATTAGCCCTGTTTTTCACTTCATCTGCAATCCTTTGTTTCTTCATTTTTTTTTTTTTTGTTTTCTCCGATCAGTTGGAAATTGTTGGTTGATTGATCATTCTGAATCAACCCCATTTGATCTTTTTGATATCCATATAGTGCTGAAATTGAGGTGAAGGGGTAGTAGGCGTTTGACATAATCATAGAAAGAAAAAAAAATTGGGAAATGATGCACAGGTGCAGTAGCTCTCAGGGCAACATGGTGGGTCCATGTTCATGTGGCCTGTTTCATAGCCAAAGCAACTCGTTCTCGATGCTATTTTCCATGCCGAACCACAAATCTTTCGATGAAACAGACGTGTACCCTTTTACGCCCTCTTCATCTTCTTCCGTTGATTGCACTCTCTCCTTGGGGACTCCATCTACTCGTCTTTGCGAAGACGACGACAAACGTATCCGCCATGACCACCGCTCTGGTTCTTGCATGTCAAACTTTTGCTGGGACTTGTTACAGAACAAGAACACACCTTATTCACAGCAAACCCTAAAAGCTAGCCGTGGAAGCAATGGAAATAGCACTAACAGCTCAGGCAATGACCCCCTCCTAGCTCGCCGCTGTGCTAACTGTGACACCACTTCGACACCTCTTTGGAGGAACGGACCAAGAGGTCCAAAGGTATGTAAAGTTACAAATTAACAATTCTCTCTTTTATTTTCTTTATTGTTTCTTCAGAACAAGTATATATATACACTTCTTTTGCCTTCTTCTTTTTTTTTTATAGATTTTTCATACTTTTCTTATTATTTTTTAATTGCAGTCACTTTGCAATGCCTGTGGAATTCGATTCAAAAAGGAAGAAAGAAGAGCTACGGCAGCAAATGCAAAAAACTCAGGCGCAACAGCTTCAATGCTGGAGCAGCAAAATCATGGCTACCACAGCAATTCATGGGTTCATCACTCGCAGGACCAGAAAATGTCATGTTTCTCTCCTGTTAATGAATTCAGGTTCAGTGAAGATAGTGATCGAGATTCCGACAATGGCATTCCCTTCCTTTCTTGGAGACTCAACGTCACAGACAGGCCGACAAGCCTTGTCCATGACTTTACAAGATGAGATTAAAAGAAAAGACCCCTCCTTGACGGTCAAGATCATGCAGCAAAGACTGAAACGTATCACGATGATGATGTTGATGACAATGTGTTTGTGATGGTGATGGTTACATGGTCTTCGTTTCGTCTCGTCAAAATTCGTTGTTTGTTTGTTTGTTTGTTTTTTTTTTTTGCTTTTTTAGTTTGTTTCCTTTGTCTCTGTCTTCTATAGATGGAGAAAGACCGGCATAATTATATGTTCTTAGTTGCTTTTGATTTTTTTTTTCAATTTCTTTAACTTTTCTTTCTCTTTCAGTTTTATATTAAAAAAAAAACCCTGCATTTGAGAGAGTTTCACTTGCACTTTTCCCCTAGTTGCCAGTTCCTCTTCCCCCCACAAGGTAAAATGAATATATATCAGACATCAAAATCATGATCTTCATGATCATGATGAAGATGATCACTTCAGCACCGTTAGATTGATTAATTATTCCCTTATGTAATAACATAAGACGTGTTAGCTTACATATGCGAATGTTACCCTTTTTCATGCTTTATGAACTGAAGTTCACTTTACCTGAGACTCTGAAGCTGCTGCTCATTCTTGTTGGTTCTTTTCTATTTCTCTGAATTTCACAACTGAAAGAGAAAGAGAAAGAGAGAAGTAGATGATGATGATGATGATGATGATGATGGGTTCATTAATGTCATTAGAATTATTACGTTTGGTTTCTGCTCATAAATCTGACCGTCCCATTATTTTTGTTTAAACAATTTGTGATGTTCTGAGCCGGAGGACACTGTGCGCTTCAGAACATGTAGTAATGCAATTTGTCGTATTAACCATTTTTTTTTTATTTGGCCATGTCCAAACACACCCATAAATTGGCCTCTAATGGACACATCGGGACGCTCCGCAAAATGCAAACCCTATTTTTTTCAACCATTATTTTAATTTATTTTGTGTCTTTCTTTCTGTTTTATTTACGTTGATGAGACAGAAATTTTATGTCAAATTATTCTATATATTCTATACTATGTTTCAGTGGCATATTTAACTTTCTTCTCATTCTCAAATCCAAGTGGATTGATTCCCCTTGTCAAAGAGAATCAACTTTTGTCTAGAATATTATAGAATTCATGAAATGATATTTTATGGGTGTAATTAATAATATATATATATATATATATATGATTTATATTGTTTATCTAGATCATAAGATGAAGCAATGTATTTTTTATTTGTATAAACTCACGAATAGTGAAATGCATATATTAAAAGTGATAATGATTCGAATCAAATTTGATTTATTTTTTTGGATAATTTATAATATTTTAAATTTTTAAGATTTGATCTAAATTCGAATTAATTTTCTTTTGAAATTGATTTGATTAAAATTGAATTTTTTGGTTTGGTTCATTGGTTTTTTAATTTAAATTTTTTTGTTTTATATATTATTTTAATATGAATTTAATATAATTTAAATAAATTTATATATAAAATAATTATTTTTATTTTATAAATTTAAAAAAAATATATATATTAATAAAAATATATAATTCTTTTTTTTTTTCGATTTTCACATTTCATTTCAAAATCTAATTTAAATTTAATATATAAATTAAATATCCAACCTTGATTTGAACTGAATAAAAAGAAAGTTCAAATTGAACCGAACACTTTTAAAATTTGTATGAAGCAAGCAAACCCTACCATTAAAATTTGTAGACAGAGATTGTCAATACTCGATAATGAGCAGTTCGACGCCAAACTTAATTTTGACGATTGAATTCATGTGACAAGCTCCCGGGCTTGTAAATCAATGCCATACAGATACACTGACAATCTTATTTTTACACATATATGCTTAATTTTTTTTTTTTAGGCTTATGCTTTTTTAAAGAGATTAAACTTGAAAGGTACTATTCCTATTATATTCTCATATTTTTATACAAAATAGTTTATAGTAAGAGAATAAGAAATTTGATTGAAAGTATTAAAATTTGAATATCGAATTTATTAAAATTTAAATTTTATATAGGTTTGAAACAATATTTAAGAAACTAATTAATTATGATTAATTTTACCAAAAAACAAGGTTAATTAGGGGAAAGATTGTTAGTTATTTCATTAAATAGTAGGAAAAAGGGAAAGTGTTATTAAACTCTATATTATATCAAAATTTCCAAATGTATACAAGGTAGTCGATAGGATAGAGTTATATTTGGCATTAAAGTTTGGTAAGTCGTCATTTTCAACTGTACATGTTGCCCTTTTGCTAATATAAATCTTGTGGATTCCAACCATATACTTGCTTTGAATATTATAAACTTTAAGTTGAATATTCGTTCCATTTGGATCTCAGTCTCGCCGAAGCATCAGTGAGGTGAGATTTATTTACCTTTTTCATTTCAAACGCACCATTCTTTCGTTTGGATTTCATCTTTGAGGCACGATTAGTGCCAATAAGCAACTGAAGCTAAAAGCTCCAATAAAAATTATGTAGTCCTATCGCTTTTTTTTTTTGGTCTGATAATCACAAGTTTCTAATGATTATTTTTTATTTTTACTTCATCATACATTTATTTTTGTATTTAAATATATATGTTATTATTATTTTTAATTTTATCATTATAGTATTTAATCTCACATTTACATTTATTTTCAAACTTACCGTCCATTTAAATAGAATCTTAGAGAATTTATCCTTCAAATACCATGACAATGAGTTATAAAGTATAATAAAAATTATAGTTTGAAATGAAATTCACCGTACTGCTAAACCTGTAATTTAATATTAATCACTTATGTTTAAGGTTTTTCTTCTCAACACTCCATCTCTGTTTGACTTCTTTAGAGGGCAATGGTTGCAGTCAAATTTGCAACGCCGACAAGTCAGTTGATGCGTTCAACAAATTAATCTTTCTTTACTATAAGAGAGAAGAAAGCCTTACCAATGAAGACCGGCTAACCGGCTAGCTCGATGAAGACAAGCCCAGCCCAGCCCATAGATCACCTTTTGTTTCCAATTTCATTTTCTCTCTTTTTTTTTTTTATAAATTAATGGAGGCACATATCCTTTTGGGTGCCTAAGACCAGGTCGAGTAAAACATTCTTATTTTTGAGGTTCAGCTAATTTGGCTTTTGGATCTTTGATCAGTCATTAAAATGGGAAACTGGGACCTGTTCGATTTCTGCCATGGACGCTGCTGGCCGAAGGTGCAAGCTTCTTACTAATGGCTCGGCTTCTATTATTGGCCAGCATTGGTTAAGCTTAGGTAACCAGCTTTCACTGCCACAGATATGCAGACAAGAGTAGGCAGTGCAGGTGATCAAAAATTAAACAAACTTAAAGGCTTAAAAAACTTGTACCAAACACACCCATTAGAAAGAAAGATTTCGTGTAAGAAAGTGTAGGATCTATAATTTATATTCTTTTTGTTAAAGGTTTTCGAGTGTGGGCCTTTTGCCCATCTGTGCTGGCTTTCCTTTTGTCCATTAACAATTCAAAGAGTACTCCAGCTAGCTGCCAAGCCACCAATGGAAATGATGTGCGTTAAAATCTTGAATCCCGTAAGGAGCTCGACTGATAACAACCCATAACCAAACCCAACTTTCCTCGTAGTTTAAAACACCCCATCTACTCTCGAGTTTTAGACTCAGCGCTTTGATTCAAGGGAAAAAGAGGAGGAGAAAATGGTGAACCTTGTCGCAGCACAGAAGCCGCTGTTGCATTGGCTAATGAAGATGGCAGGGGTTAGACCTTACTCAGTGGAGATCGAGCCAGGCACGGTCATGAACTTTTGGGTTCCTTGTGAAGCAATCAGGGAACCAAAAAAGGGTGAAAAGAACACCCATTTGGAGAAACCAACAAAACCAGTGGTTCTCTTGGTGCATGGTTTTGCTGCAGAAGGCATTGTCACATGGCAATTCCAAGTTGGTGCTTTAACAAAGAATTACTCCGTTTATGTACCCGACCTTCTCTTCTTCGGTGGCTCCATTACTGACAAACCTGATCGGTCACCAACTTTCCAAGCCGAGTACTTGGTTAAGGGTTTAAGGAAAGTTGGTGTTGAGAAGTGTGTTGTTGTGGGGTTTAGCTATGGTGGGATGGTAGCATTTAAGATGGCTGAGTTGTACCCTGATTTGGTTGAGGCCATGGTGGTGTCTGGCTCGATTCTCGCAATGACTGACTCCATAAGTGTGGAGTCTCTAACCAGGCTAGGGTTCTCCTCTTCTTCAGAATTATTGTTACCGAACTCTGTTAAGGATCTTAAAGCTCTTCTTTCAGTTGCTGCTTACAAGAAGCTTTGGTTCCCTGATCGGCTTCACAAAGACTACCTTGAGGTTTGTGCCATTACCCTTATTATCAACAAACATGATTACTTTTTCTTTTCTTCTTCTATACAATCCTTTTTATTAGTTTATGCCATGAAATACTTTGGCTCACCTAAATTTCTGGGAATCAACATTTGCATGACTAGTATTCACATGATTTTCATGGCATTTGAATTAACATCTCAATGGCTAAAATCATCAGTTAAAGTTACACCTTGCAAAAAATTCTGTCAAAACATGGCATGGCATAAGAATAGAAATTCGTTTTATTTTTCCCCCTGTAGAAGTATCCAGGAGAAAAGAAACAAACTTAACTTGGCAATTGACGTGACAGAGAAATTCAGAGTCTGAAGATAAAGAATGAGAAAAATGGGCGTCCACTGCATTTCGCTCAATGAACTGTACCTAATTTACTATACCACGTGCATTGGTACAGCGACAGGTCGGATGACCTAGAGCTGTCTACAACATCCCCCTGGGCTTTGGCCCTCTTCTCTGTCATTTAGGTGGCCTGGCCCTAGCAAAATTAATGGAGAAAATTTTGAAAAGTTGGCTAAACGGGGAAAACTCAATAAAGGATCCTTGCATTACAAAACAAAGTTTCACTAATAGAAAGGAACAGAAGTCAAAGTAGTTTATTGTTATTTTGGGAAACTTCTGATCAACGGCCCTGGATGGAATTAATTGCAGGTCATGTTTACTAACAGGAAAGAGAGAGCTGAACTCCTGGAGGCCTTGGTCATTAGCAACAAAGATGCCACCATCCCCTCTTTTCCACAGGTTATTTGCATTTGCCTTTTTCTTCCTAGATTTTCCCATGGCTGCTTTTTAGAATTAAAAATTGTCTACTCCATTTCTTGATATACCTCTGCAGAGAATACATCTCTTATGGGGTGAAGAAGATCAGATCTTCAAGCAGGAGCTTGCTCACAATATGAAAGAGTATGTTTATCTCAACAACTAGAAGTGAGATTTGGGAATTTTATGCTTTTACATAGCTTTGCACTAATTGGACATTTCTATACAGGCAACTAGGAGGGAATACAACATTCCAAGGCATCGAGAAGGCAGGCCACTTGGTTCACCTGGAGCGACCCTGTGTCTATAATAGGTGTCTTAACCAATTTCTGGCTTCCTTGCTAGCGGAAAATGTTAACAAATGACTCTTCCAGGTTTATCTGTAGTCAATGACACAGCTTGGTATCATGGAAACAGGAAAAGGGGGAGAGTGGGGGGCTCTTGTAATGGATTATTATAAAATTTCTTCCCATTTTTCTGGCAAAGAAATTATTACATTATAATTTGTAACAAATTCATCCTTTTTCTTTTAAATAATAATAATAATGCTGTGTCTCTCTTGCCCAAGTCTTCACCACATGCCATCAAACAACTTTTATGGAGACATTGGGAGACAAAGCACATATACAACTCGTTTAGTTGTATTTCAAATCGGGAAAGATAAAATGCATATGTGAAGAACATTTTTATCTGAAGGACGACTGAATCTCTTCTAGACTTCTTCCTTTTGTTTCGGGGACCCAAAGTGCCACAAAAACAATGGTGAAAGCAGCCACAATTGCATAAATAGTGAAAGTTCCTGCTCGTAAGAAGCCAGCATGTTAACTATAAACTCTTTAATTGTATCTCCACATACAACTAAGCACATAAGTGTGTGTGTGTGTGAGAGAGAGAGAGAGAGAGAGAGACCTCCACCACTCCAGGTCAGAAGCAAGTTTGCAGTCATAGTAATTGCCCACGATGTCAGCCAATTTGCCAACGTTGCTACACTGCCAGCTAGACCCTTAATATTAACTGGAAGTATCTGAAAGATTAATTTTAGGACAAATAAGAACCTAGCCGAAACATCTGCAATAACGTGAGCAATGTATTTTATACTCACAAATACTAACCACAAAATGAACAGTATAAAATGACTTGAATGCACAATTCAACCATTCCATTTCTGTTTAGAGAAGCCAAATATCCGATTCTATAGTGTAACAACTTAAGCAAGAAACTATGAAATACAGCACAAGATTAATACAAGAGATCCACAACACATTATAAGAAAGCACTTATAACCCTGGTGAGGAAACAGAAGCAACCAAAATGTAGGAATCTTAATGCTGTTTCTATGGCATGGCCTTAAGTTACACAAGTGTATCCAAGGTTTGTTTCTCACTTCTTATCTCAAATGCATACACCCATGCCACCCATGGCCATGATAAGAACCTCGTACATGAAAATGATAAGACTACATGGTGACTGAAAGCACAACCATTAAGGGGGTTGCTTAAAAGGACAATAGACAACAGAGCTTCCTTTTTTCATTGGTGTCAGTTTCTTATTATCCATGGCCAGACAACTTCTTGTATAATCACTGATGAGACTTGTTCTCACCCGTCATCATCAAGTAGTATATCAAACAGAATCCTACAGTGCACAATTAAGAATGTTTCCTATTTATAGTGAGGTGAAAATACAAGAGAAATTTGAATACCTCAGACATTATAACCCATGGAATTGCTCCAACACCCAGTGAGAAGGAAATCACAAAGGCCTGGATTTAAAAAAAAGGTCAATCAGACTGAAATATACTTGACAGAAGTAGATGGAGTACATGACACAAACACACACACACCATCCTGTGTGAAAGAAAACTTACCACAAGACCCACCAGAGACAGAATTCCCATTATGCTATATAAGTCAGAATCTTTGGAGACAATGCCCTGGTATCAGTGACGAAAAAGAAGAGGGTGAAAGAAAGAATTTCTTAAGTAGGATTGCTTAATTCTTGAAATTAGCATTCTAAGAGATATTGAAAAAGAAAGCTAAACAAGAATAAATGGATGTAGCATCACCAACCTCAAGGTAAAATGCAACTGCAACAAGGAGCAAACTCAAAGTCATTCCAGAGGAGGATACCTGCAAAATCATTTCAGATTATTGATCTTATTCATTGCTATATTCAGTTTAGCTCATCATCAAATATAAGGTGAATAGTTAGCTCAAACACACCATAAGAAGCAGCCTGCGGCCAGCTTTGTCCACCAACCACGTAGTCACACCAGTTGCAATGACCTACACAGAATACAAACTCCTATTAGACTCATCAAAATAAAACTCCCTTGCAATGTATGAATCCCTGCATGGAAAAACAAGACTTTGAATAACTAACAAGAAGTTACCTGAATAGCCCCAAGCCCAAATGTCGCAACATTACTAGATGAAACCCTGGGCAATCATATAGCAAAGTCAAATAATAGAAAGCAAAAGTAAATAGAAAGATGAAACAAAAGCTGTTGCAACGTTACAGAGTACAAACCAATTTATGCCATTAGTGCATTATGGCTGTTATAGAAGAAGAGCACTCGAGATGGAAATGGGAATCATTTTTTTGTAAACTTATGTAATTAACATAATGTCCCTCATATTCTTAGCCTATGAGTACAGTAATAAGATATGTGGAGAACATTAGCAAATCTCACAGACCAAAAATGTATTCTTTCCTATTTTATTTGGCACATCCACTAGTTATTATTCAGATGACAAGTTTGTCCTACCAAATTTGCATTTGTATAGTACCCAAAAGTGGTGGTTCACGCGTTTTGAAGTTTCCATTTATCACAGAAATTTATTTACCCACCATCTATAGCTTCAATGAATAGTAAAATCATAGTTAAACATCAAAGAAATGTTGTTCTTACCAGCTCTTTCAAAGATATTACTGGAATAGAATAAAACACCATTGATACCACTGAGTTGCTGAAGCATCAGTAATCCAATCCCTACCTGCAGCATACCAATTACCACTAGAATTGGGGGTTCAATATTTTTAAGGACAAAGGGAAAAATGCTATACATGAAATAAAAAATTCAAAAACAAAATAATCTACCATCAAAGGATACCAATATCTTTTTCGCTTGAGATCTGCAAATCGAATTGTTGTTCTCTTGCTTGATGATGCTACAGCTCGCTGCAGAAGTGCCAATTAGAGCTTAGAGCCTAACATAACTTTAAGAGGAGACCAGAAGAAATGTCCATAAGGTTGTACATCCTTATCGAATCAACTACAGCATTTGTGTAATAACTTAGTTTTGCAGTTGAATCCAGATAGCATGAGCCTTCACCGAAGTGAAAAAGAAAGATTGCCAGTAATTCAGTTCAATACCTTGATTTCATTAACTTCAACAGAAATATCTGTGTCAAAGCCACGCAAAACTTGCAAAGATGCCTCAAAATCTTCCATCATTCCCATTTTTGCCTGGATGCAACCCAGTCACAAGACAAAAACAGGCAAAATCATATATACAAAAGGTGAGCTGAAAAGATAAGAGGTTATAAAAGGTCCAATCATTAAGAGAGCAGGTGCAAGTTTCATACCAACCATCGAGGAGATTCAGGTATGAAGAATAGGCCAGGTATCAATATTGTACATGGTAATATTCCTACAAGAAGAAGCATAACAGTCAGTTAACGATAACTGTGCATTAATCAACCAATTTGATTGATTATTGATATATGCTAACCACCATTCCTCTTTAAGTGAACCATAGTGGTCTAATGTGTATGCAAATAATGGTATAACTACATTGTCATGGGAAGAAGTAGTTGCTTTAGAGCCTAACAGCCATCTATCTCTATTAAATTTAAAAGATATTTATTCCCTGGAGAAAAAAGAGATTTCCAAAAGCATTATTTATTCTTCTAGAAAACAAATATCTCAATTAACTTCAATCACATGCAAGAGTTCAAGTATTCACATACATGCAAGATATGAAATCTTCAAAAATTTCGAATTTGTTCAACTATTATGAAAAGTTTGGATATTGTTTCTCCAATAGCATTCAACGTTTCTCTTTCTGTGAAAGAAGGGTTAAGTGAACAAATTCTAATCAACATACCTAAAACTGCAAGCACTCTCCAATTTGCAAACAGTCCCAACAGATAAGCCAGCATTATTCCAATAGTGACTGATAGCTATCCAATAAAGAAGTTCATTTAATCAATCAGTTGATAAAAGTAAATATGGAACACCAATATGGATATTAATGTAAAACAAACCTGGTTAACTGATCCAAGGCTTCCTCTCATGTTTTGGGGTGATATCTCAGCTATATATACAGGTACCTACACATAATTAACATCATGATGCTATTGATGTTTTAACCATTACTTAAGAAAGCGAAAAAATTCCAAGAAAAGAACTAAAGAACAGCTGAAAGCTTTCAAGTTACCGTGTAAGAAATTATACCGACACCAAAGCCTTCTAACAACCTTCCCATGAATAAAAATGACGAATCCTACAAACGCCCAAGGCATAATACATAAACAACAAGCTTTACAAAGTAGACATAGCAACAAGGACAAAATTACCAAAAGTGACTCACTTTGGCAAAAGATATGGCCAGCCATCCTATTATGTTCGGAATCGCAGCAATCATTAACGACTGCAAATTCAACACACACAATGCAGTATTCAAAATAATTAAAGTGAAAAAATAAACATAAAAATATATAAACTATTCATATTTGATGCATTATCTATGTCAATACAAATATAAATGTGGAAAATTAATGGATTAAATTTATAACTTCTCTGTTCTAAGCTGAAAAGCAACATTAATTAAAGGGTAAATAAGAGAAACTAGGAACTAAAGAAATCAATTTGTACCCCTTTTCGGCCAATATATTCAGCAATCTGACCACTGGCTATTGCCCCAACCATTGCCCCCACATTTGACAACGAGCCAAAAATAGAATACTGCCAGCAAAAAATAATAAAAACCGTTAATTTAATGCAAAGAAAAACAAAATAAAAACCAATTTAAATTAAAAAATGGGAATTTGGGCATTCAAATTCAGACCTCTGAAATCGAAAGATTAAGATCACTGATGATTTGATATTGCGTAGGAGAAGAATATCCACACTGTATTTTAAAATTTGAAAAATAATTGAGAAAAGCCATGAATTTACAGTTGAACATGAAATTAGAAACGAAAAAGAGCAAGAGAGAGCGAGATGGAGAATCATTATACGGTGAAGCCAAATTGGATAGGACCCAAGGCGACGATGAGGACGCAGAGGACGACAGAGATTGATCCATCGCGAAGGACGTGGGCCGAGGAGCTCATAATACTGGACTGCCTCGAGCTCATACGGTACCAGCTTCCGGTATGTAAAAACGGCTTCTTGAGATCCCGGCTTTCTTCATTATCGTCCCGGAAACTCATCGCCACTTCGCTGTAAAGGAAACAAAGCAAAAACGATGCCGGATTGGGACGACCAGATTTTCAGGAAAATATGAAGCTCTGAGCTTTTGGTTGAAGCAGAAACAGGAAATGACGAGGATGATGATGACGAATATTGAGTTGGTTTAATAACATTTTGTGGGGGGAAAAGAACAACGAGTGCCAACGTGGCGGCCGTTTTGTTTTTTCTTTTTTGGATTATCGATGTAGTTGTAACTGAAGAGTTCGGTTGGGGGCCTATCCATGTTTTTTTGTTCGGAAAAAGCGGATAATTTAAAATAAAATATAATGGTGTGAAAAGAATATAATATAAAAATAAGAGTAAGAATGATTGAATTTAAAATTTTAAAAATTATTATATATAAAATCAATAAAATTAAATATATTTTATATTTTTTATATAAATTATAATTCATAAATTTTATAAAAAATTAATATAAATGTAATAATTTTAATATTTTTTATGATAAAAATATTCGAATAAAAAATTATCGTATTTGAAAACAATCCATGATTTCCAATTCAAAGACTAGATCCTAATTATCGGGGGGGCTTTTTACTGGTCTTTTGAGTGCAAAACGACATCTCGCAAATTCTCCCATCAAGTATGTTACAATATTTTACTATTTTTGGAGGACTTCAAGAACAAATTTCTATTTTTTTTCTATTAATTTCTTGAGGAGCAAGAAGCCAAGACTATTAAAAGAAACAAACACTGTTATGAAAAGTTGACCAGCCCCAGTCCAACTACCTTCGCCGCTGAAAGCCCAATCCTGCCTTTTCCCCAAATATTTACGAAGTCATAGTCATGAACCCTCCGCCGCAAGCCACCAGTATCACCACCAGAAGCACCGTCAAAAAGCTTTGTGAAAACCCCTCATCATGCTCCAAAATCCCATTCCGACCGCGCAAAATCCGAAAACTTACCTCCAACATCGCCCTTGACAGCGCTACCGAATCCCCTCAACCTTCCCTCACAGTTTCTCCCAAAATCCCAAAATCTTTATCCACAGAACCCGAAATGGACCTCGCTCTTAACCATCTCCGCACCTCGGATCCTCTTCTGGCCACCCTCATTTCCAACCATCCCCCACCAAAGCTATCTCCTTGTAGCTCCCCCTTCCTCGCTCTTTCCAAATCCATTATCTTCCAACAGCTCGCCGCCAAAGCCGCCAACTCAATCTACACTCGCTTCATTTCCCTTTGTGGAAACGAATCCAACGTCCTCCCAAATACAGTCCTCTCTTTTTCCCCGCAAAAACTTAGAGAAATTGGGGTCTCAGCTCGCAAAGCAAGCTATCTCCACGATCTTTCAGACAAGTTTTCAACTGGGGTTTTGTCGGATACTTCCATCCTTACAATGGACGACGAAAAGCTGTTCCATATGTTGACATCTGTCAAAGGGATTGGGCCTTGGTCGGTCCACATGTTTCTGATATTTTCGCTTCATAGGCCTGATGTTTTGCCTGTGGGGGATCTTGGAGTGAGGAAAGGAGTCCAGCTTTTGTATGGGTTAAAAGAGCTGCCAAAGCCGTTGCAAATGGAGCAGATTTGTGGCAAATGGAAGCCTTATAGATCAGTTGGGTCCTGTTATATGTGGAGGCTTATGGAAACTAAAAGCGAAGGGAATGGAAAAGCTCGAAGTGTTGAAACTGAACAAGATGGGGGGCCTTAACTTTTCATTATGTTTCTAGGATTGAAACATTTGTCTAATTGCTTTTAATTGCTTGTGTTGTGTGATCATTAATTGCTGCTTTGTGTTACAATTTCTGTTTAAGAAATAAATCCGCCTCGAAGTTAATTGAAAATTTGGAGAAATTAACTTGTTAAAGAGTTCCAAATTGGGGTTTTAGCTGATGTTGGTTCAGGCAAGCCAAAAAAATCTGTACGCCGATGAGAATACTTACTACTATGATTCATATATTCACATCTTATAAAATATTAAAATTATATATTCATAAAATATTTTATATAAAAATTATATATCACAATTTATATTAATATAAAAAATTAAATTATATTTTTTTTATTTTTATTAAATTTATATATAATTATTATTATAATTTTAAATCGTATTTTTTTTCATAGACATTTCGTATTTACGTCAAATCTTTATAGTTTAAATTATCATTTTATTTACCGCTGAAAAAACAACTGCGTCGAGATATGCATCTCTTGCTATTAGATTTAAAAGTCTTGGAAATTTGGATCAGAAGCCCACCAAAATTCTCTCTCTTGTGTCCAAAAACGTGGATCAAAGTACCAATTAAGGTCTATCTTCACTTCTTCTTCAGTCCAAAAGGCCACTTAAGTGATCTCTTCTCATGAGTCCAAAAATGTGGATCAAAAGCTCACTTAATACTCCAATGAGTCCAAGTGATTATAACACCCAATTGTATTTTACAACATTTATCAAAATTATTTTTATTTGTGATTTCTTCAGTTATATTTTTTTTTACCATTGGTTTAGTGTCTTTCTTCTTGAGTTATTTAACTGAAGCTTAAAATTCCTAGGACACAACAAAATATTGAAACAACAAATGAAACATATATGAATGGACATTTCTTAGGAAACCCATAGTATAAAACAGGGCACAATGCCAGCCTTAGCCTTTTTTTTTTTTGTAAGAAAAAAAATATAATAAATAAACTACTCAATCTCTTATATCAAGATAAGATATATCATATTTAATAATATAATATAAATAACTATAAGTCGTGCATTCGAAATATCCCAACAAGTGATCATTGACAAAATTCAAACTAAAAATTTTTTATTAAAAAAAATAAATTTTAATCAATTAAATCAATCACTTATTAATAAATTTGACTTATTATTAATTATAAATGCTGGGATTTAAAAAAATAAAACAATACTTGCAATCATTTTATATTTGCTTCAAAATATAATAAGAGTGGGCCAACATATTTACAACTCAGAGTGCAATAGAAGCAAATTATCAATGTACCCTTTATTAGTCACAGTAACAATCAACCTAAAAAAAAAAAGAACCCTAATTGTAGGGCAAATCACACGTTTATAGGATCTTTTTGGGGAGGTGGCCTAGGATCCAATCTATATATCATCCCCCATTACAAAAAGTGGCTTGAAAAACAACGAAATGGACCACCCTATCTCACTGTTTTTCATTTATGTGAAATTGCACGTTTCATATGGGACAAGTCTTTCCTGCAATTAACTCTCATAAATTAAACCAGACCAGCTAGCTGGGCTAGTGCTCATACTCTCTTTCAAAATTGAGTGGTGAGTTGACTGCTGGCTAGCTCTCGACATTTTCAATTTTCACAGCTAACCATGCATTTCCTCTCGTGGAGTTGAATTCATGGACAGGGCCAAGGGGCTTAATAATATATAGTAGGAAGTTTCTTTGAGTAGGGCCATCAAGGTGGGGAATCTTTCAGTGTAAGAATAAGAAAAATGATTTTTTTTAAAAAAAATTATATTTTAAAGTGTTTATTTGATAAAAATTTGATTGATCAATAAAAAGTAATTAATTAATCAATAAAAAATAAAATCATTTTTAAAAAATTATCTTACGAATTTTAAAAAAGATATTTTTTTGAAAAAAATTATTTATGAATAAAACTATTTATCAATACTTTTTAATATAATTTTACATAGAAATATTATTATATTAATAAATAATATTATATTATAATATATTAATAAATAGGATATTATTAATAAAAATATATTATAATATATTAATAAATGGTAGTAATATAATATTTTAATAAATAATATTAAGAAATAACATTATAATATATTAATAAATAGTATATTATTAATAAATAATATACTATTAATATGATATATTAGAAATATTATTAATAAATATTATTATAATATATTAATAAATAATATAAAGAATAATAAATAGTTTTATTTTAAGTATTTTTTATATTAACATAATATTTTAATATTAAATATTATTATTAAAATATAATTACTTTTGAATATTAATACTTTTAATAATAAATAATTTTAATATATTTTAATAATAAATATTTTTTAATATTTTGACAGTTAAGTTAATATTACTTTAAAAAACAAATTGTTTAGAAAACATCCAAACAATGAAAAAAAAATTTTATTAACTCATCAAAACAACAAAAAATCTTTTTCAATTCAAAAAATGTAAACATTTTTTAAAAATTATTTTTCAAAAATTATTTTTCAAAAATTATTTTTTGCGAAACAAATGGAGTATAAAATTATTTTGTAAAAATTAGAATATTATATATTAATTAAAGAGATTTGACGTATTTATTTTGGTAGTTATTGTGAATTTGTGGAAGCAAAATGAAACCCGAAGTGGTTAAGTCTTCCTTTTCATTCTTTTTCTTGGTAGTGCTCAATGAGTAGTTACTTAATTATGTAGAAGTGAAGAGGGGCCTTAACCACTAATTAATTAAATAACCCTAAAAGCTTTCCTATCAAAGGTTTTATTGGGTGAAAAAACCAATTTAAACTTAAATGATCACATAAAATTAATTGGGCTTTCATACAAGTATTGTATTAGGATTAAATTCATCAACTGATTTTATTAAATTATTAAAATCATTAATTAATAATAACCTACTTATAAAAAATTATAACAGTAGGATCATATGCTCAACCCATGTGCCTGATATTGAAAGAAATTAAGTTGTTCTTTTCATTTTCAGTAGAAAGGAAGAAGAGTGTTAGTGGAATACTTGTGAAAACCTTCTGTTTTGGTTTTGAAATTGATGCATTTTTTTCAAACACAAGTAGAGGAGAAAGTAGAAGATTGATAAAAAAAGATGTTAAACAATAATTAAAAAAAAAAAGAGAGGATTAAAATAATAATTTGATAAAACTGATCATTGTATAATAAAAAAGATAAAATTTTTTTTAGAGAGCCATGACCCCTGCCTATCCCCCTCTAGCTCCAGCTCTGATGAACACAAACTAGAACTAGTAGCTCAACCATCTCTGCTTAAACTTGAAACAAGATATTATTGATAAGAGTTTTAATGTATGTGGTAGTAATTTCTTTCTTATTCATTAATTTCTTTACTTATTTTTTGGGTGTTGCTTTTTTCATATGAGACCTAACCTAGTTTAGGATAAGAGGCTTTAATTTCAATCAAAATCATGTTATTTTCCAGAGAATTTCCTAATTTCATTACTTGGGATGACCATCATGTAGAAATCCAATTATTTGGTGAAATTCCTGTTTCTTTAAAATAGGAAGCAAATTTATTACTATAAAGAAGATACAGAAATTAATCAGAGTTTCTTAATAATTTGCATTAGTGTATATAAAAATAGGGTTGCTAGATAAACCATTTTGTCTTAATTATTACTTTGTCTTTAATTAAAACGACTTTCCATTATTTCCTTAATTTTCCAAAAAAAAAAATCTTTTATTAAAAACATATTTGTTTCTTAAATAATTAAGAAAATAATGTTAACAAGTGCCTAATAACACTGATTAAGGTGATATTTAAAAAATAAATTTATAACTAATACATTATCTTTATTAAATTTAGTGAAAATAATGCATGTAATGAATTTTTTTAAAAATAATATTTTAACTAATCTTAAAGAGTGCTGCTAATCAGACCCAATTAATTAATATTGATATAAAACTTAGAGCATAATGTCTAATTAAACCATTTTAGTTAGATTTAATGCAATAGTTTGACTATTTTTTAAGTGAAAATGATTAAAATATTTCATTAGTTAGGATAGTAACAAAGAACAATGGGACATAAATAATTGAAATTACTATTTAGGGCATTTATTACCTCAGCCAATATATATATATATATATATAGTTTTTATTAAATCTAAAAATTTATTAGTCAAGTCAATTAGCACATTATTATTTCTAAACGAAATTAACCTAACGACAAAATGTACTCGATTACCAACTTTATTGATCTTGCATGAAAAAAAGATCGCAGTTATGGACTATCAACAAATAAAATAAATATTTTTTATGGATCTTTGATATTCAAAAATTATGAATTTAAAAATTAATAAGTGGTTGGTTTAATTGATCAAAGTTTTTTTTTCTTATGAAAAGATTTTGAATTTAAATTTTGTAAGTGGTTATTTATTGAAATCATCTCAAGTGTACGATTTATAGTCACCTATTTTAGATTGTCAGATATGATATATCTTATTTTGACTTAAGGGACTGAACAATTTATCTACCTAAATTTTTAATGTCAAAAAAAATTATGAATTTGAAAGATTTAGATATATAATATTTTTTATTTAATACAATAATATATTTAAAGATATATTAAAAATTAAAAAACAAATAAATTTTTATTCTTTATAAAAAATTTGAAATTATTATTAATATAAATTATACTTACTTTATTGAATTATTATTAAATAGTCTTTTTGTACAACTGATAACACTACTCCAACGGTCCATCTTTTACTTTTGAAGTATTTTAAAATTCTATATTCTTTTTAAAGTTTAAATATTATTTTTGTGATTTTTTGAATTTATTGACATTAAAAATTATAAAATATTAAATTTATAAAAAAATACATATTATATACACCAAGGAATATAATTATTCAATATTCATTCTTGATTCATGCGTAATTAAAGTTAAAATTTTGATTATTATTGTGAAAAACTTCATCACAGCAACACCTTTCCAAAAGGATATAATCACGGTGTGACTCATTGACCAATCAAATAGTAACGGGAAATTAGGTTGTAATTAGTGTTAGCAAGTGATGATTAGCATGTATTAAATTGGAAGAAATTAAGAGTTTAGGGTTAATAATTTCAATAAAAGTTGATGAGTAGGCAAAGGTGAAAACAAATAAAATTGAACCTTTTTTGGTTGTTGGATTCCACATGCAGAAACGTCTACTCGGTAGAGTCAAATCATGCAAAAACCCGTCCCGCGTGCAGTTTTTTGATATGACTACGGACCGGAAAAAAATTTAGATTAAATTTTGGAGATGAAATTGATGAAATTTTTTATTAAAAATAAATAATTAAAAATGATAAATTGAAAAGTTTTATTAAATAGGTAAATTTAAAAAAAAATTTAAAATTTTGATATATTTTTTAGATAAATGTTTTTAGTAAAAATATTGAGAGAATTTTTATAATTAAATAAATATTGATCAAATTTAAATTATAAATAATTTTTATTTTTTATTAATCTTAATTTTATAAAATTATCAATTGAATTTTTTTATTAAATATTATAAATTTTACTTAAAAAACTTTATATAAAATTTGTTCATACACGGAAGAGAGGAGAAAAGATAGCCGAAAGCTTTGATTTCCTTCTCTTGAGAATGGCTTTAAAGAAAAGCCAATCTCAGTCATTTTTTTTTTTTTTTAATTTCAATTATTTATTTATAAAATATAAAAAATAATTTTGCTAAAAAAATCAATGACAAAGATCAGACAAAAAAAATAATGGAAGTATAATCGATTAATCAATTATATGTTTTTTTACGAGAGAAATATACACTAGAAAATGCTAAAGTAAGAGTTGGTGTCTTGGTGAGTATCTTGATTTAGTGCCCTTTAAAAGCAGTCTTTATGGCTCATCAAGGTTGAATATTGACCCAACCCCCCCCCCCCCCCCCCCCCCAAAAAAAAGGGGGGAATTAAGAGCGTTTAAATGGCCGAAATCTTTATAGGAATAGCTTATCTAATGTGATGGATCATATGCAAAGAAAAGCATGGCCCGAAAAGAGGTGGGAAAGAGTCAAATAATACAGTGCAGATCAATTTCAAAGCTACCTCTTTGCATAGGCTAACATGTAACACTCTTATTACCACCATGAAAAGAAAGTAGCCACTGCAAGCACAAAACGATGTGTGATCGAGAAAGACAAGAAATAAAAGATGCCATGTCATGCCAAGTTGCCAACAAAACAAAACCAAGCAAAAAATAAAATCAATTAGCAATGAGAAAAAGAAAATTTTTGCAGGCGCACCTAAGAGAAAAACAGGATTCAAACACAGAGATATAGAATCTGACACACACTAAAAGGACAAGTGCAGTGCTGTGGACCAGCATTCCCGCACGTTAATTGCTGCAGCCCACGAAAGAGAAAGGGGGGGTCCTCTCTTCCTTTTGCTGGTTATCTCAAGCTTTAGCCCCCTTGTTTAAAAGATTCTGTAACTGTGGTTTTGTGTCTGATGATGTATAAATCTCAAAGAACTGATCAAAACTGGCTTAGTGAGGGAGTTTCAGGTTGCAGGAAGATTCCAGGCAAACAAGCCAAAGTCAATTCCCGAGACACACACATAAAATTCTAGTGTAGCTTATTCATATTTGGGGTTTGTTTAGAGTTGCAGAGATTGCAGACAAAAAAAAAAAGTGTTAGGGAGGCAATAATTAGGAGCTGGACCAGTGTGCAGGCTCTGCGAGGGAACTAACATGGCCTTGTCGGTTGTTCTGCAGGAGCACTACATCTCTCAGTGTCACGGTCTCTAATGGTCATTACTAGTTTTTGAGTACAAACCAGCCTGCTTGTTCCTTTGATAGATGGATTTTATGGGCTTGTATGGGAGAGTAGGAAACAAAACTACCTCACACATCTCTATCCTTCTTTTTTAACCTCTTCTCCTGGCATCTCCTTTTTTTCTTTTGCTTATCAGCTTTTAAGATTCAAGTTTAGTTTGTCTACTTAATCTAAAGCTAAAAACAAGCTTTCTTGCATTTGCTTGGTGCCTCTTGGAACTGCAGACGGTTTACAATTAGAGAATTCTTGCATCAAAAACTGACAATTGTAATCCGTTTAATTCATCCAGGTAAGTTCTTTGCAGACCAGCTAAGGGCCCCATATTATAGTCCCATTTCCTGTTTGAGCTTCCAAATCTATTTGATCACTTTATGGTTTTAAATATATAAAATTAATCTCTTTTGGTCCCTTAAAAATTTTCTTTTTCTGTTCACTGCTCAAGCACTTTGCTTACGTCTTCAGGAACAGGATATGGGAAATTGGTGAAATCATGAGTTGGTGGGTTTAGCACTAAAAGGGAATAATTTGGGGTTTGCTACTGATTATTCCTTTGATTAAGTGAATAGATGGTGGTGAATTAGGGTTGGAAAGAAGAAAAAAAATCAGCAAGACCATGATGATGATGATGGTTTGAAAAGAAGCATATTACTGCAGTATATTAGTCTAGTGAAGGGTGGCTGAGATCAGGACTTAGATCAAGGTTTTACATTAGAAATCAGAGTTAATGGAACTGAGAGGCCAAGATAAGGAAATGGGGATGCCGAGCTCTTTTAGTTATAATAATAAACTCAACAGGAATTCTTCCTCGAGTGTCTCGTTTTCTGCGCCTATAAATTCAGCTGTAGGAGAAAGGAGAGATCAAACTGTTCACGGTGAGACAGCAATCCTCAATCCTAACCCACCTCAAACCCTAGATCACCATCCTCTTTACCACCCTGAATTGAATCCACACCATCATATACACCAGCCCAGAAGAGATCCAGACCAAGACAAAGACCCAGATCCAGTTTCAGCTTCAATAGCTACCACCAGTGCAACAGTGACTGCTACAGCTGACAGAACAAGCCTAAAATCACCACAGCAACGACCTCCAACATCAAAGCCACCGCCAGTAGCTGGTCCAGCATCAACAACTATCAGCTCTACTCCTTTGATTAGATATAGAGAGTGTTTGAAGAACCACGCAGCCAGCATGGGTGGCCATGTTGTGGATGGCTGTGGAGAATTCATGCCAAGCGGCGAAGAAGGCACCCCGGAAGCCTTGAAATGTGCAGCCTGTGAATGCCACAGGAATTTTCATAGAAAAGAAATCAATGGGGAATCACAATATGCACCAAGCTGTTATTATACCTATAATCCCAACAAAAAAAATACAGGAAGAGATACTGTACATCCTCCTTCTCAGCTTCATCCTCAACAGCCAACCCCTCTTTATCAACAAAGATTTTCCCATGGATTGTGTCCTTCTACGGTGCCAATTGCACCTGTGATGATGAACTTTGGTGGTGGCAGCCCATCGGAGTCCTCAAGTGAAGATCGGAATATGTTTCATCCTAATGCCGGAGGGCAATCATCACATCCACAGTCATCAAAGAAGAGGTTCAGAACAAAGTTCAGTCAGGAGCAAAAAGATGCGATGATGGAATTCGCTGAGAAGTTGTGTTGGAGAATCCAGAAGCAAGATGAGCAAGAAGTGCAGCAGTTTTGCGCTAAAGTGGGAGTAAAGAGACAGGTTTTCAAAGTTTGGATGCACAACAACAAACAAGCTATGAAAAAAAAGCAGATGTAAGAAAGATTTTTCTTCGAAAAAAATTAAAGTAGCAACTCCTTAGAGAATGGATAGATTTAGAGAAAAATTTTACATAAAAAAATGTGCATAACCCAATAGAGAGAAAGAAGGAAATAGATTAGAACTCTTACAACATTTACTGTTTTTTCCTGATTTGTAGAAATGTTTAAATCTGTAATCATCTGCTTAATTCTTCTATATAATTTCTGACATATCACAGTTCTTAGAAACATTGGCAACTCATAAAGATTGTAGTACTTCTTTCACTGAAACATCTAGGAATCTCACTTTGTCAGGATATTTCATTAAAGAAAACATTAGGCAATTTGTAATTGATCTTCCTTTTCTACAAATGATTCTGACATATTACAATCCTTAGACTTTAGAGACATTGGTAACACACAAGAGTGTATTATTTTCCCACTCACCCATAACCCATTGTTTTTTCTACTCAGTGGCTTATGCTGTTTCACTTATTAGGAAATAAATCGTGTCGTTTAACAGAACATAGAAAAATTTTATGTATGCAGATCTTCTCCCCTTTTCCTCCAACTTTTCCATTTGACTTACTGATCATGGTACCTTTGGTTGCTTCCAGCCCTACCATACAATTCTTCTATTTCCCTCTAGAATTAAAGCCTGGGCAAACGGAATTTGAAGGGTTTTATGATACTAACATGATCAATAGGCATCATAAATCTCATTCTTCTTTCCCATTTTCTATGGTTAAAAGTTTTTCAAGTTTTGAAATCTTGTTTCGGAGCTACAAATAATTGGGATCGGGGCCATATTATACATGGCCGTCCTGATTTTTCTCTCCATGTTCAAGTGCAATAATGGCATCTATAACAGAACCATTTGACTAGTTGGCCCAACTGAAGCTGTAGATTGAAGGAGACTTATCCTAATTGAGAGATTCTTTCACGGTGCAGAATACTAGAAATATGGAAAATGCTAGACAATCACTTGCATAAATATGTATATGTAGTAGATTGATAAGTCTCAGCTAGTGACATTAATGTTAAGTCTCTTTCTGAATATATAGTAGTTCAAATGCACTGGAAAACAGAAGGGCATTTCAAAAAGTTCGAGAAGTATACTATCCACAAAGAAAACCAACTATACAAGGAACCAAAAAGTTGAGAAATTGCTAGAAAATGCCAATGAGGAACATGCTGTTGTTGAATTATTAGTGTTATTACATGAGTTTTTTTTTTTTGCCTTCTATGAGTCCTTGGCAACTCAATAGTAAGAAGTAATCTAATCGAAATCTTCTTTCTCATACACGTCAGAAAGCAGGAAAAAGGTTGGAGAGGACTGGGAGCTCAAGCCGTCAACTCAAACTGCCAAAGGAAAAAATATATAGAAGAAGTTATATAAATCAGAAGATATATATAAAGTAACCAATAGAACTACAATAACTTGGTGATTTAACTAATGACAACTAGGGTTGGGTTCAAATTATTCAGCTTCACAAATATTAAGGGATGGTTTAGGTGCATTGCTCAACAATGTGAATTCTAGAGGGACAAGTAGCTGAATGAAGAAAAAAAAACGAAGAAAGAAAAGGAAATTATTAAGTTAGTCGATATGCTTGTAGGGAGAACAGCTAAGAGCCAAAGAGAAATCGATAGGGGAAGGTCACTGCTTCATTCAGGCATTTAAGAACAATTAACATGAATTCTATTGACATCAAAGAGACATCTAATAAAGAGAAAGGGTATCCAAAATGAAAAGCCTGGATAGTTTTTATGGCATCCGTTCTAATTAGGAGAATAAGATTAGGATAGAAAAAATATAGAGATGGAAAGAAATGAGTATGAGAAGAAAAGGATTGAGGGAAAAAAAGAATAGCCGCATCTTAGATTTCTAATTAAGTTCAAAACTACATTAACTCTTTCAATTATTTGTATGTCATTTCTAAATATAGCTAGTAAAGCAACAATTTTTTGGAAAAAATTTACATTGCAAATGGGCTTCATAGTTCAGATTCCAAAGATCGAACAAGGTTGCTCGATCAACAATCTCTATATATGTGATTTATTATCCATTCATGTTCAATCATGCATGAAGGCCACTACATTTGCTACTTACCAAAACCAGTTTCTCTATGAACTAGAATTTATATATGGGTTTTAAAAAATAAACGAACTTGGCTAAGTAAAATAATACATGTTCAATATATATACTACTAATTTCTTTTTTTGTTTTTTTCTTCATTATATACTACCAAAATGAGCAATAGACAATCCACAAATTATTTCTCTGAGATCTATGGATCTGCATGTGCATTTGTAAAAGGAAGGAACAACATTCCTCATATTAATACTAGTAAAAGAAAGACAAAAATCCCAAATAGTATGTTTCAAGAACAGATAAGAAATTCAGACCCCCCCCCCCCCCAAAAAAAAAAAAAGAACACAAAAGAAATAATAACAATGACTCAGATAATAGCTTCAAAAAGTCGGCAAGTAGAAAATGTAGCTCAACTACTCCAAAGCTCTGCGATATACATTCCCTCTCATCTTAGCTTCAAGATCACCCACAGCCTGGGAAGCCTTCTCTTTGGAAGCCTCATACTTAGCCTTAGCCTCTTCATTCATGGTCTCCTTGGCCGATGCTTATGTTTCCCCTACCTTATTCTTAACATCATCATAGCCATTGGCAACTCTATCCCTTCCATACCCATTGATGATGCTGCTGCCATCTCTTTAGCTTCATCATAGGCATTTGATGGTTTGTAGTTAGATTCCATATTCAAAGAACAGATGATGCCTGAAATTCCTTTGTGGTTAGAAATGCAACCTTTTGGTTTATTAGTGGCTTACTACTTGGCTTCTAATCTAACTTGTTAATGAGTCAATCAAGCAGTAAAGTTTAACCTTTGGGGGCGAAGCTAATGAAAGTAAATCCACTACTTTTGCCTAGTCTACATCCGCTAACATAAGCATTGTTTACTTTGATTGATTGATTGAATAAAAGAACAAATGTTAATAACAACTGAATCTGATTGAGGAAAGCAAAGGATCCTTTGCTTTACAGAGGGTATAAAAGCATAGACTTAGGGTTCATGCACCAATCAACAAGCCAGCGCATGCATTCTGGCCCATGTTAAAAGCTAGGAACCAATTTAAGTACTTTTAAGGTGATATTGGTAATGGATCTGTAGCCTGGATCAGTTGGATAAGGTATAGAATCAATTATTGAGAAAAGGTGATCAAGACCATGATAAACCCAACTGGCAGCAGTAGTTTTCCGCCATTTATTTCATGTTTCGTGTACTTTCTTCCCTTATGGCCTCTGCTGTCTGGGATTATACTTAGGTTTTGAGCCTGCGGGCTTAACAGCCTTTTGGGCCTCGTAAGATATGATTAAGCTGCAGCAGCCAGTTGCGTTGGCTATGTTCTAACGATTCCCATGTTTCATTCATCATTCATTGATCCAGTTTTGCCTCCCATTCCGCCCCTTTTTTATGATTTGGCCTTTTCATCCCCATTTTCAGGCAAAGCAGCTTGTAACTTGACTATATAAGAAAAGCTATCAGGAAAAAAAAAAAGGAGGGGGGGGGGATAAATCGGCTAATTTTTAATAAGTTACACGGATTCTGGATAGGCTGTCAGGCACGATATTTATGTTGGGCTGAAGAATGAAAAGAGTGACATAAAAGAATGCATATAACCCTATCCTTTAAATAATTATTGTTTAATTTCTTCTTCACTCAAAATTATTTATAATATAAGGGAGTCAAGTTTCTAATAGGTAAGTGGATAAGTATTTTGCATTATAGTATTGGCATTTTCAAATTCTACAACACTACTAGCAAGTGTTGCCGTGCATATAGGTTTTGTTGCAAGAATCGATCAACATCCATGAACCTCGCACCTTGCAACTTGCATGCGGGAGCATTGTCCCAACATGAAGTAGTCAATTGCAATTAATTCTGGTTAGTATTTTTCCATGTCAAAATTATATAAATTAGTGTATATATATATATATATGTGTGTGTGTGTGTGTGTGTGAAAATTCACTTATATTAATGTAAATATTATATATTTTTTTACTTTTAGATTAAAATTAAATTTATAACACTTAGTTATTTTAATTTAATAATAAAAAATGCAATATTTACATTAATAAATTAGTTATTTTAATTTAACAATAAAAAATGTAATATTTACATTAATAAATTAGTTATTTTAATTTAATAATTAATAAATTTCTCCCATACGTGTGTGTGTGTGCTAATTTTTGACATGTGCATCACGGACATGTAATTCTTACCTTTAAAAATGCATTTCAATAAACAATCTTTTATACTATGATAAAAATGATAAATACTAATAATTTATTTTTTATTTTGGTATGGTATAAGTAAATTTTGATAATTTTTTATATAATTTTGATTTTGATAATTTGTAATAAAATTTTAACAACTTTCAATACAATTTTGGTAACCTTTGATATTAGTTAGGTAATTTATAATATAATTCTGATAACCATTGATAAAATTTTAGTAATCTCTTGATGTAACTTTAATAATTAACTTTCTGATAATTTATGATATTCTTTTGTAATTTTCTTTTTATATAATAATATTATTGTTTCATTCAAATTTAGAATTTTTTTAAACTAAATTTTTTATCGAATGGATTTTTAGTAAGTTTATCCTAGCATCCCAAAATGAAATTTCTAACTTTATGTTTGCTAGTAACCAAGATTCAATTTCTGACAACTTTAAATATAAAAAAATTTATTAGTTATTGATAATTAAGTTATTATTGATTTACTATTATGTTATCAGTGATTTACTATTAAACTATCAATGATATATTACTAAATTATTAATGATTTACTATTAAATTAACATTGATTTACTGTTAATTTATTAATTATTTACTACTAAGTTATAAATAATTTATTACTAAATTGTTGATGATTTACTACTAAGTTATTGATAATTTCTTACAAAGTTGTAATTGATTACTATTAATTTATCAATGTTTTACTATAAAGTTATTAATAATTAACTAATTTATTACTAAATTATCATTGATTTACAATTAAATTATTAGTAATTTACTACTAAGTTATCAATAATTTGTTATTATGTTATTATACATTTACTATTATGTTATCATTGATTTACTACTAATTTTCAATTATCTACTACAAAATTATCACAAATTTATTACTAAATTAACCATCATTCATTGTCAAATTATCACTAATATATATTAAATTATTCATGATTTACTATTAAGTTATTGATAATTAAGTACTACTAAGTTATGATTTAGTTTTAAGTTTCTAATAATTAACTACTTAATTACCATTGATTTACTACAAGTTATTTATGATTTAATACTAAATTTATCAATTAATTATTACTAAACCGACATTGATTTATTATTAAGTTATCACTAATTTACTATTAAATTATCAATGATTGACTACTAAGTTATCATTTGTTATTTATCAACCTATCATTAATTTATTAATATATTATTATTTATTTACAATTATGAAATATGAAATTTAAAAAGTTTACTAATAATATACAAGACAAATTTTTTTATATGATAAAATTATTGGTTTATTGAAAATT